GGTCTGAGCACTCTTTGAAGAGTGTTAGGGATTCCAGTTTTCATTTTGAAAAGCAAAGTATGTTTATGATACTGTCATTAGGGGAATACTTAGCCTCTGCATGCATGTAGGGTGGGTTGAATAGTTCTGTCAGTTTTTGCAGGATATGGTAGCATTTCTTGATGTCCTAATTAAAAGAACTTGAGAACTTGCAGCTGTCAAAACTTATTTTAATGGCTCTGTAAAGCTTAGTATGAGGAAAAACAGGAAGATACTCTTGCCCACAACCTTTAACTAGTGCAGTTCATGTGACTTGCAATGAAAATTCAGGTTACCAGAGCAACAGATCCCAGAAACCTTTAATGGAAGTGAAGAGTTAAGCAAAAAGTTACAGACTGCTTTGGATTTTATTTTGAAGTTTCTATTTTAGTGCAGGAGTCCACTCCAGTTCTGGCCACAGCTATAACTGACTAGAGCTTCAGGAGTCAAAACATTGATGTGCTCCTAGAAGCTGCTGACTTCCATTTCTGAGCTGCAAATGGTCTTTAAGTATTCTTTTTAACCAGACTGGGATTTTGAATGGAAAAAGAAAGCAAGTAACAGACGTGAATGCGCTGTCTATACAGAGAGAGCACTGGTGTCCTGGTTAGAAGTTTCTGAAGTAGCTTTCTTTTACTTCCATGTATTTTTCATGTGCCTTAAAATTTGATTTCTCTCCAACACTCAAGGTCTAATCTACAAGGGGAAAAGGAGGATGAACTTTTGAGAAGGAAAAATCCAAACCCATGTTCTCTTTGAGCTAGTTCTGTGAACAGAATAGAACACATGCTTGTAAAAGAAACCTCTGGTAAAATTAATGCATTTCAATTTAAGGCTGTGTCTTTAAGTTACAGTAGTTTCTAAAATGTTCAAACAAAAAAGTTAAGATTACTGCTAAAGCAGTCAGTTACTGGGGTTTTCTGAAKTTTGAGAGTAATAGTACAGGAATTCAGCACTCATTTCGCTTGCAAATTATCAGCTGGTTGAGACAACAGTAGGTCTGATGCTGAATTGTCCAAATTCAGCATTACCCATCTTATTTATCAGATCCTGATTGTTCAGTCCCTAATGGTGTGTTCCCTCCTTTTGCCTGCACTGGCCTTGACTGACAGACCGACCCTTTGAGCTGTTTCAGCCCAAGGACGTGGCCGAAAATCTTTCCCTCCTTCCTTCATCAATTGCATTTGCCACTTTTGGAGTAGGTTTTTTCATTTGGAAATGTCTTGGCAGAAGTTTCATCAGTGTTGAAGAGCCAACAGAGGGAGACTGCACAGCAATGGGTAGAACAGAGCTGCTTTGCATAATCCAGTTTAGCATCCTAAAGCATTCCTGTGAGAAATCATGAAGAATTTCAATCCTTATCCTCATTCTTAGTGTGGATGATGACATTTTAGTATGCAAATATGTCCTCTAAGCAAGGTATTTGGAACTAATAGCCAAACCATTCAAAGTTAAAGCAAGTCCTGACCTAAGTGAGAYGCTTCTTACTGTTTAAAATTTGCCTTGGTCATCATGAAGGTTTTTCTGKAAATTTAATTAGTTCACAAATGAGAATTCTAGGCTAGTTCAGACACAGCAATGTCTTCATCCTTCAGYTCTCACCACTCTACCAAATTGACAGTTGTTGACAACACTTTCAGGTTGTTTSTTTGAGAACCATCTATCCACAGAGTTACTTTAAAGTTTTTGGGAAGAAGTGTTCATGGTCATGTAGTAAGCCCTAAGACATGAGTGTTCTAAGGAGCGCACATTACTTTGATTTTTCTCACTAGACATTTGGACAGATGTGGTAAAGAACGATGCTGAGTYTTAAATTATGATTTCACAGTGCTGTGCCTAAAATTATCATTAAACAGCCCTGTATTACTAARCTGTATTTTCACTGGAGGAATCTTTCTGGGCCAGTAAGCCAGTTGGAAGAGGGGGGGGGGGGAATCTACTATTTTGTGCTTCAGTGCTGTGTTGCATAAAATTATTGGAATTGTTCTGGCCCAGAGAGGAGATAGAACTAGACCATGCCATGTATCATGCTTCCCTTTATTAATTATAGTCCAGATCCGTATTGTTCTAGAAGAGATCCTGGTGTTCTGCTAGTGGGTTTGTCAAGCTTATATAACAACTATAGTTTGGATATAGTAGGTTATATAAGTTGATGCATGCAGTGAATTGCTGTAAGAGCAGCACTGTTCAGCAGCTTGCAGTTCTTGCTCTTTTTATCCGGGTGCACAAATGTTGCATTGGTTTCTATTAGTAGAGACACCTGTTTTAGTTGCAGTGTTTGGGCCAATAGAGATGCATGGGAATGGTTTTAGAAGCAGACATAGCCCAGTTCATGCGCATTAATGAAACTAGTTTAGTCATCTTATGGCAACTGGTCGCATAGTGGTTACCTTCTGTTACATAAAAATGTGTATACAAAGTTTGTTAGGTAACACTTAAACAGACTTTACCATGCTGTTGTGTTTCATGTGAWGATGGATCCTACCCTCAGTAGTTGTGTCTTGTTTTGTTTTCCAGGTATATTGGATAAATGTGAACTTGGATGTGTTCCTAGTGATGACGAGTCTTCATAGTTCTGTGTTTGAGTGTAGTATGCATGCATGACAATACTTCCATCCTACCTTCAGGTCTAAATTTTTGATACCTTCCATCATTTGATACTTCTTCATGTCAGAACCATGTTACCTTGGCTGAGCTGTTGCTGAGTGTAAACCATCCCTGCATGAAGTCAGGTTTAAATAGACATGAACCTCATCCAGTCAGATGATTTTTAAAATATTATTTTATGGAAAGAACTGTGGGATTTGGGGGTTTTTGTCCCCTTACCCATAATCTGATACCTAATGTGTGCTGCAGAGAGGAACAGTCTGAGCCAGTAAACCATCTGTACCATTAAGTGGAAGTCATTCTTTAGACCAACCTCTCTATTCTTGTAGATTCTGAGGTAGACTGAAAAAAGTCCTGATTGACCAGAGCAGGGTTCTGGTGGCACTCTTCACAGTGTGTGCTGTAATATGTGCACTGCAAGTATCCTGCTAATTTTGGTTACAGTGGTGTCTCTTAGTTTACTGTGCAATCTTACTGTATTGAATTCAGAAACCAACTCTTCTGGTGCTAGACAATGGTAATGAGACCCTGAAGTTTTCAAGCAGAAAGCCGAGTAGAGAAATAACAAAGATATCCTTGTAAGGAGGGTAATAATAGTGGTTTTATTTGGATAGTCCTTGCAGTTCAAATCTGTGTATGTTAAGAATGTGTAAACTCTTTTGAAAGTGCATTAAGCTAAGCACGTTTCTTATTTTGGTTCCATGTGACATAGTAGAGGAAATGATGTTCTCCCTTTCTGGACCTCTGCTTCAGAACATGGTTACACTTTTAAAATGCAGAAACAATAACCTAGGAAACTTCAGTAAAGTGAACTGAGTCCAGGAAACTTGTTTACTTTTTCTGCTCTAATTCATCACTTGACTCACAGGGATTGGCAGATTTGTCAGACATGTAGACCTGAAGTCTGCAGGTGAAAAACCACCTGTAACCTTTAAAAGAATTATGTTCCTTGTATTACACTGAGTTTCAGTTCATGTGTATGTTGGTTACTAAAATAACCTGAGAAATTATCCTTAAGATCCTTTCCAACCCAAGCTATTCTTTGAATCTATGATCTTTAAGTTGACAGAGACCATCTCTTAAATCACCTGTAAAGATCAAAATCCAGCTTTGAAAGACACAGCTTCTCATCTTTAACATGGAAGGTGTAAGATTAAATCATTCTTCTCTTTGGTAGAACACTGGAAATGCTTTTGAGGTGAATAGTTTAGGATTTTTAACTGAAGATACATTTGTGACAAACTGATTGCAGAGCTTCTCAGCCGAATACGGGGTAGGCACTGACCTGAGTTAATAAACATACCACTGATTTTGCTCCCCCCCCTTCTTATTTGCTAGTACTTTATTTTCAATAAACAGTATTACCCATGTTCCCAAAAGAAACTGAAGTATTGTCTTGTTTGAAACCTGTGTTAATAAACAAAATCAAAAAGCCCTTCAAAGTGATGGAAAGTGAAGGTGAATTTTTGTTTTAGAAATTCATCCTGCAGCTGTTWCAAACAGCTAATTGGAGAGAAGCATCAGTTGGTAGAATGCTTTTTCTTGCCTGTTTGGTGTTGACTAAAGCACAGACAGGTAAGTGTCACTCTGGAGCCAGTTAAGGATATCTAATGAAGCTTTTTAATTCTTCCAGTGTGAAGCAAATTAACATTAAACTATCAAAAGTAGAGATTTTCATAATGGTGACAGAGTGCTGACTTTAACACAGCTTGTTGCTTTGGAAGCCTGGATGTGGTCTGTGTTGTTTCTTTCCAAGTTGTCCTGTTTTCAAATTGAAATTTGAAAATTTCAAATTCTTTTTGAAAGAATGATTTCTTTATTGACTTGTGCCGACATAACTGGCATTGTTAATGCTTCTTAGTCTATTTCTGTACAGGTTTGTGGATAAATGACATATTAACATAAGAGAATAGTTATGAAGACAGGAAAAAAACCCTGCTGCAGAAAGCTTTACTAATGGGTATTTCCCATCTTCCAGATCGAAAGATGTTACTTCATGGGAAATTGCTAAGTTTTTTTTTAAAAAGTCTGGATTTGTATTAGATTTCAGTCAAATGCAGATTATAAAGGCTGTTTCATTTCAGTGAGGCAAAGAAGTTTCTTCCTTTGACTCCCAGAAATGTTTAAAGTTGGTTTAAAAGTAAATAAATATTTCAGATGACATACTGCTTTTGATATTACTTTCAGTGTATGCTCCACTGAACTGACACTTTCCTCCTTAGCGAGTTGTTTCGTTCCTCTGTTCAAGCGTTGTACTTGTTGCAAAACAGTCCTTAGTTKCATAGTTCATTTCCTTAGTGTTCATGTGGTTGTCTAGCTGTTGAATAGAACCTATTAACAATATTAAATTACACAATTTTTTTTTGTCGTTGTAGGAAGAAATCTGCTTCATCTAATTCAATGCTAATTCAGTCCTGCTAATCTGCTARTACTGTAGATTGAAAGATTTTTTGCTGTTGCCAGGATACCCTGTAATGGGCAAGAAGCCTGAGAGAATACAAAACGTTCTGATTTTTTAACTTTTAAAAACTTTTGTGTTTAACAGGTAAGAAACTATTAAACTTCACCTACAGCAGTAGATTTAGCTCCTTCATCTCTAAAGCCTAATTCTAAAGCATTGAGAAACCACTTGAAATTTAAGCTTTTYGTGTCCCTGATGTCCACTAAAGTCACCTGATTCCTGTAGGTTCWCATTTAGTACTTCTCTAAGCTGCAGTTCCTTCTGCAATTCAGGCTTTGTGACCATGCCTTCCCTTTTCTTGCAGCTTTTTTCTTACTACTTTCTAGCTGGCTGATTCTAACTTTCTTTAACCTATGCTGCTCTTGGACTATCTTCTTTCTCCACCCTGCTTTGGTTTACTATGACAATCAAGGGTGTTATTGACACACTATTGTGGATATTCTGTTTGTTTTTAGTGTTTTGCTTTCGTACCAGGAAGTATTTCTGCTGCCCAGCCATTTTAGAGTTTCARTGTTAATGAACTGATGTATAGTAGGTATGAGTGATGTTTAGCACTATAGATTATTATATTGAAGTAATACTGTCTTCTGCAATTAAATTTTTGGTACTAACTGCATGTTTTAGTGCAAAGGTGTCTTGTSGGTAGCTATGCATTGTTTAGCTTTCATTTTAGTGCGGAAATACTTTCATTTTCATTTTGAAGCTTATTGGGAAAATTCAGAATAGGAAAAATCGTAACTGAATTCTGTGTCCAGTGAATATTTTAAATTTGAAATTGGATGTTCACATGGAATTACTAGAAAATTATTCATCTTCTCTACTTGGACAGGGGAGATTAGTGTTTAATTAAGATCTGTATTTATTGGCACTTACTAACCGGTGGTTTGCGATAGAGTGTAGGAATTGACAAGAATATACTTRTTGCTTGGTATAAAAATTGCTCTTGTAACTTCACTGCAGACTGGATTTCACCTGGTTTTTGTGCTTCTGCTGAACAGTTGACCTCTTGAATTTAAGGGTGTCTGATTTCGATAGGAGTGCAGCCCGGATGCATAAATAAGGGAGACTAGGTTGATAAAATAATGGTAARAGTCACTTCCATTTCAGTTCTTAATTGTTCTGTAACAGTAACAGGCTCCTCCTCTTGTCTGATAGGGGAGTAAAAGTCCCTGCTTCATAACTTGCCTCAGTAGGAGGTGGCACCTTGTTAAAGGGCCTGTTGGGAGATCACTGTCTATCTTCAKGCAGTTTTGTAGCAAGTTTTTCTTCCAGTCAAGGGAAGACTGCCACATGCATTTCTCTCAAGAGAATGTAGTTACTCTCTGAAAATATAGTAGTAGTTTAGTAGAGGAACATTTATGCTGTAAATGAAKATAATGTCTTGAAGGAATCCTATCATGACATCAGGAGACCGCTGTGCGGCCTTGTAGGTGGCCAAGTATGACTGTCCTGGGAGTGGGGGAGGCTGTGGTCTGAGAGATGCCCTCATGTGGGAGAAGGGGGCTTGGGTAGACTGAGGGCCCCTTTTGGGGGGATTGCTCCCCTGTTCTTGYCACTCCTTGGGCACAGGGCCTGCTCTCTGCCTCCCCTCGTGTGCCTAAGCTTCAACCTGCTCTTCATCCCCTCTCTGGGATCCCCTGGATGAGACAGTTTTGCAGGAGGGTCAGTGGTTTTTGGTAACCTCCCACTCTGCAGCCCCCTGTGCCCAACAATGGCTGAGAGGGGGTGAAGCATCCAGAAATCCCATGGTAAGAAAAAGAGTGCAGCCAGCCTGCTCAAGATCTCCCAGCCTTCCATGAAAGAGCTRTTGGTTGGTTTTGCTTCCTTTTCAGGATCTCTTCTAGTTTGTTATGCCCTTGGAAGGAATGTGCATGCTATTAGAAGTATGTATTAAATTGTTGAAGTACAGGTGTTTGTATTTTCTGTTCCATGTAATTCCAGTTAATTTCAAACCATCTGTTTGCTCCTTTCTCCACTAAGGTTTTTTTGAAACTTCACTAGCTTATTATAATGTAAGTAACAGAGTATTTATTTTCCACCATGTCTCATGTTTGTGATGTGAACAGGCTGTTCTGTCATTGAAGAAACAGCTACATGTTATTTTGCATTCACTTGAGAATTGTATTCTATGTCAAATTGATCTTACATTTCATTTAAGAAATGTAGCAACTGTACCATGAAAACTCCCATTTATTGCTKCTTTTATTGTGATTGCTGGGTGTAATGTAAAGTACTCTAATTATATCTGGGGACTTTGAACAGCAACTTAAATCCTTCTAGCTAATAGTACACAATGAACCTCACTGCTTTGATTGAAAATAAATTTATTTCAAATAGGTCAGGACAGGCACTTGTAGACAGCAAGTTTATAGTGTGTGATGCTCTGCTGCATACAACAAGCAGTTTTAAAAGTAGCAACTAGAGTATCTTCTGGCATGTTGAGTCATGTTAATTCTGTTTAGCTCTAAATTTTTTTTCAGACATGCATTCATGCTTAGTTTTGTTTTCAACAGATGGTCCACTTCCAGTGTCAAAATAAGCACTTTATAAATGCTAGTACGGTGTCTTCTTACTGTCCATTGATTGGAGAAASGGAAACCCTCCTTTCCCCTCCTGCAACTGGAATCTGTCTAGATATACCTAGAGAGTAATTAGTTGAGGTTATGTGAAGCTGGCAGAAGGGCATATTTGCATTTAAAGTAAATCTCTTTATCTGTTTAAAGGTCTTAAAAGATAATTTCCCAAAATTTTTCATGATAAAAGCTAAATCATTTACCTTCATCATTATTTTGTCCTTCCTTAAACTTACTTAYCTGTCCTTCCTTAAAARTATTTAGTTTTTAGGAGRCAAAGGATTCTTTTGTTGGAAATACTTGTATCATTAAGAAATGCATTACCATCTTAAAACCTTAAAATCAAGGACTCCTTKGGTGGTTGCTCTTGCATCCAACAACTAGACCGGCTTTTGCTAGTTGCTACGCAGGATTTGTAAATTCTGTTTTGCTGAAGTAGGCTACATCACTAAAGATGTGTTTCATTCATGGAAAAGTTTGTCTGTGCAMAAGAAATTGATTATTTTCTTTTCCATCTATATACTTGAACCGTATAGTAAGAAAATACAGTGGGGCATGGAAAGCGACAGATTCTGAGTTTGTTTTTTTATAATACAATAATTGTTACAGCTCTRTATGTAGCACTTCCCAGAATATTACAGAATCTTCAGCTTCACACTGATRCACTTTCTTGCTTGAAAAATGTAACTGCACATTGCAGTGAAATCTGTGAAGTTCCTACCAGAAGCTCTGGGTGTATGCCTTTAACATTTATGTAGTTGACAGGTAAAAGAGCCGTCAGCTGACTGCTGAAATCCTCCTAGTTTTCCTGCTGCACTGGTCTAGATGCCCATGTCTGCTTGGAGCTGCCAATACTCAGCTCTTGCATGGAAGTCTGAGGTACCGAGTCAGAAGTAATTCAGTGTAAAATCACTGTTCTCATATTTGTTTAACCTAAGTGTTACGTGTAAAAGTTGAACTTGAAGGAGCAGCTTGCTTTAGTTTTATTTACTGAAAAGACTTTTGGATGCCTTAAAGACTTGTTAGTCTGTTTTATAAAAGGTTCCGTACAGGAGACATTGTCCAGAATTGAACCATACATTTTTGTGACTGAAATTCACATTGGAGTCTAGTAGCTTAAAAACAGTAATGTTTCTATTCAGGAAAAGTGTGTGACAGCTACAATTACTTGAACTATAGAGAAATTTTGTGATACAACTCTTACCAAATTTTTTTGATGGAAATGTCACTTAAGCATTTGACCTTCAGAAAGAGCCACTGATTTGTTACTGGTAAAAATACTTGTGTGGTTTTCTTTCCCTTTWGCAGACAGATGTAATTTTCTGTCTTGGTCTGAAAGGATTGTTTCTAAGCTTTATTTCATCCGTGTAGCAAATAATAAAAGTGAGAATTTCAGTTAGCTGTATGTCACCAGTTGAAAGCAGCCTTTCTTTGCTTTGTTGAAGTGCTTTATTTTTCTTTTTTTTTAATTTTAAGTCAAGTGTTTATTACATGGAATGCTATTCAACATTCATTCAGAGAAGAATTTGTTGACAATATTAACTAAGAAAACAGCAATATTTTTCTGGATATTAGGTGTTAATAAAGATCTTGAATTGTCGTAAGTTGTGCGTCAGCAAGTTGATATAAACTTTCATAAGTACTGTTTAATGAACTGGATGTCAATCTTGCTTACTGGGAGCTTTCAGAGATTGTAGGAAATTAAGATGTTATAAAAGACAGCCAACTACATATAGCATCTTTACTGTCTTTAACATGTTTTGTCTTTCGGCATGTGAGAGTTTTTAAAATTATGCTGGATTATTTTTCTGCTGTAGTTTTTAATCTGGAGCATTTYTTATATTTGGGAGTCTTTTTTGTCTTGCATTGAGTCCAGATGTGTTTCTCTGYGCTTACTGAAAGTGAAGTAACATTGGAGTAATACAACCTGTTCGACCCATTGAGTTTTTTGTAAATTTGCAGGTAGTGAAATTTCGGGAGGAGTATGCTTGTGAGTTTTGGACAAAAGACCTAATGCTGACTCTGTTAATGGGATTGAATTTTGAAAAACAGGATTATTATACAGAATTTAAAATTYAGATTTTGGGTGGGAGTGTAGAAGAGTAGGCTCTGAGACAAATAGCAATAACATGTTTTGATTTTAAAACTTCCAATCAGAGCTATTATAGACTGATCCTAGATCATTGTCAGTAATAATGCCTAAGAAAATTCTCTTCAGGGTTCCTGGACTTTCCCTTTGGCATAGTTTATGTTGTTTATTTTTCCTTATTTCAAAGGACCTGGGCTCCTGTTGAGAAGTGGTGGAATAATCTGTGGCCGGCACCTGACATGTTGAGGGAGCAGCCCCTAAAAGAGCTTGCCTGGGAGACAGTTTGTGAAATAACGCAGTAACATGTTTGCAGTAGTATGCCTCTTTTTTTGTTATTGCTCTTTTCCGTTGTTAAATTTCTCTTGAAATAAGTAACTGAGAAATACATTGAAGCTACTGAAATGAGCATTAATCACTACAGAGGTATTTACATCTGGAATAAGCATTGATAGTGGTTACTTACAAGGATGGTACTTTCACTGATTGGGGAGAGGGGAGGGGTTTGATCTGCTTTTTAGAAGTTTAAAAATCCCAATCAGAAATATTCTCTGACTTTAATAATACACTAGTATTAGTGCCTTAAATTTGTATGTAGCTTGCATTACTCACAAGCTAGTGTTTTTCATAATTGTATRATTTGATTAAAGCTAATTTGTGAGATCAGGTGTCTTAAACCCTGCTTGTAAGTTTACTAATACTTTTAGTACAAAGTAATTTGTTCTGCTTCCTAATCATTTAATACTTGCATGGGATGTTAGATAAGTACCAATAGTGCAATTGAATAAATCTATATGTTGCCTGATTGATTTTGTTTGAATCCCAYATCTTTAAACAGAAAACTGTATAATCTAGGGTTAGTTACATGTGTTACAACTGCTGAAAAAAGGTAAAGCGGARTAAGGTGGTATCATGTGATCAGTATGTAGTGGTTAAAGCAAGAGTTAAAATCCTAAAAGCAGTCAAAATGTCTATATAGTGAATATACCAAGTTTTACAGTGTYTAGGCTGAATACAAAAAGTCTTGCTAATGAAAAGATTGTGCACACAAAGGTTTTAATAGATCCTTGAGGTTGTGTTTGTTTTCCAGACTGCTCAAGCACGAAATTTGACACAATGYTGTTCTAAGTAGCTGTAGTGTCAACTGCTGGGTCTTAGTTGCAAAAGAAYTGGATATTTCTGTTTTGATTTTTATGGGGTTTTTAAGTGTATGACAACACATAGGTCGATTATTGCTTTTAACCTTGCTTCTATATACAGCCCCCAGTTACAGAAGTGTCCTTGCTAAAATAATAGTACTTATTGAAATTCTTTGTYTTAACTACATATTCTCACAGCTGATGTTCCTAATGCACAGCAGTAACTAATATATTGAATTAATCTTTCACATTTGGAAAACATTTACTAAAGGAGCAAAAGGCATGTTTCTTTCCTTATTTAAGAATGGCTCTGAAAAATGCTGCTTTCACTTGTATGGAAACAAAAATTTTTCTTACTGTGTTCTAGTATCTCCAGTATCTCTTTTCAGTCTRCTTAAAATCTGCACTCATTTAAGCCCAGTTAATACCATGTCAGAGGTCAAATGTCATGTAAAAGCCCTGTTTTCAGGAGGCAGGGAAATGTAATGTTTGTATTGAGCTTAATGAGAGATGAAAGCAAGAATTTACTGGKTATATTGTAGATTGAAATACTTCTTTCTGATAGCAGTTGTCTCAGTAGCAACTGTTCACAAGRTGTCTTAGAGAAACAGAATTAATATAGGGGTGCCAAGGCATTTTATAGGAAAAGGTAAAGTTATTCATTCTTAYAAATCTGTTACAGCCCCTTACAGTGGTTCAGTGGTTGGGAACWCTGCCCTTGATGTGTGTGTAACACATCCTGCTGTTCTTTGTTGTTCCTTCTCCATCAATTTTAGGGAGGCAGGTACAATTAGTGTAGTGTTAAAATTAGCTCCTGCACTCTGAAGTGTGCTGCCTGCAAGCTAAAAGTCTTTTAATTTCTCTACCTTTATGGGTGTTTTCTTCAATGGTGGGGGTGGTACTTCAGTGCAGTTWTGCTCTGTCCATTTCATCTTCTCCCAGTTCTGTTAATTGCTGAGCAAATTGTTTGGAATCTCTGATTCAATGTGTAGACTAAAAACAAGGACTGGGACAAGCAAATTCAGTTTATACCTTTTTCTTTAATGCAGATTAGCATGTTCCTTTCCTGTAAGTAAAGCCCTGCCTAACTCTTGTCTTTGGATGTTAGAATAATTGCTACTGCTAATATACTGCTGTTCTTCTAACACAGACCAGCATGTTTTGGAAATTTGATCTCCATTCGTCATCGCACATAGATACACTTCTAGAGAGAGAAGATGTAACACTGAAGGAATTGATGGATGAAGAGGATGTTCTACAGGAGTGCAAGGCTCAGAATCGCAAACTTATAGAGTTTCTGCTGAAGTCAGAATGTTTGGAAGACTTAGTTTCATTTATTATTGAAGAGCCACCTCAAGACATGGATGAAAAAATCCGATATAAGTAGGAAAACTTTTGGGGTCGGGGGAGGTTTGGAAGGTGGAAAGAGGATTAACTGAATCTAATCTAATTAATTGATCATGTGAATCCCTCTGTGCTTGTGTGTAGTACAATATTACTGTGTTTTAGATTAAGTCTGTGTGCTTCATGGAACTTTAAAATAAATAGTTCTAATATATGAAAACCCCTTTTTGGGTAGTATAGCTCCATGGTTAGCTTTGTTTTGTTGACTTGTAAGATGTTTTAGAGATRTATATTAAAAGATTAGTGGTACTCCTTGGAAGAATGTCCTTAGGGTCTAAATGCTGATGTTTTCCTTTCCAGAGTATGGCCATGATTTCTGACTTGCTAGGAAGGTTCAAACTCAAAATTAATCTAGCAATTYGTATAAAAGCAGTTCTTCTGCTTTTGGCATATTTTGGTATTGTCCATACAGAAAGCTGCTTTTTTTTCCTAAAATGGTGTGTAAAAATAATGTGAAATAGGCTACACCCTTAGTTGCAGAAACCACTTTTGCTAAACCCGGCCTCCTGTAAATGTTTCTAGTAGAGTTGGAAATTGAAGCAAATAGGAGGTCTGTACTTGAACAGATGGATTTAACAATAGATCTTAAAATAAAAATTTGCTCTTTCCTTTCRCAGCTTCCCTGCTGGTGTTCCATTGCTACTGAAGGTTAAAATAGTCCACTTGTTAAAGGAAAACAAAGCTTATAGGCTGAATGTGCAGTTTTATTACTTTGTATTATTGTGCTACTTTAGTGTAGACCAACCCTGCTTGAAGATTTGGTCAGATGCCTTACCAGGTTCTGAATTCAGAGCTGGAAGAATGAGAGCTCTGAAGTATGAGTGATGGATAATTTTTTTTTTTTTTCTTTTCCCCAGATACCCAAACATATCATGTGAGCTGCTTACATCAGATGTCTCACAGATCAATGATAGGTTGGGAGAAGAAGAATCCTTACTCCTGAAACTGTATAGCTTCCTCTTAAATGAATCTCCTCTAAACCCTCTACTTGCCAGTTTCTTCAGCAAGGTGTTAAGTATTCTTATCAGCAGAAAACCAGAACAGGTAAATATTTGCARACTCACCAATTTAACAAGTGCTCTGATAAAGTTGTAGTACTCAGCAATTCTGCTTTAAGAYTATGTATGAGGGATAGCAGCAAAATCAAAAGAGAACATTCAGCTTCCATACTAGCTGAAGACACCTTTTTATTATGCACAGGATTAAAGAGCACACTTGGATGAGTAAGRTGCATTTGATTCAGGTTTGCCTGAGCTATTTTTGCAATCAGTGAGTGAATGCCTACCTTTTGGCTTAGCTTAACTGAGTGTTATACATAATATTTGCATTTATTGCTGTTAGAAGCAAATGTAAATAACTTAAATCAATGATAGTGAGTCTCACTCTGTGTGAAGAATTTACAACAAGGCGAGAAACATTTGGTGTCCTTGCTCGGAAATGCTGTTTTACTCAGTGCATTTGGCCAGTACTGTAACCAACTGCAGTGACTTGACTCTCAAACCTGAGATACTGCTTGTATTGTGGTAAGAGTTTTGCTATGTTAAGTTTTGCTCACAAAATCCCTGCTGTGAGACTAATCATATCAAAAAGACWGCCTGACTGTGTGTTGGATTGTAAGTAGGTTATGGTCAGTAAGYTGGGTTTGAGAGGAGGCCCAGGACACACTGCATGTAGTATGGATCTGCCCTGTGCCACTTTTGCTGTTCTCTACCTGTGTATTATTTTATCTTGCCTGTTACTCTAAGTTGCAGCAGTGTTTGAGAAGTTCTCATCTATTTTGTCAGTTTGGCAGGAGAGAGAAGTTAAAAGTAGTTGGTGTAATTTATCATGTAAAATGCAGAGGAGCAAATGTAACCTTACTTTTTGATTTGCAGATTGTGGATTTTTTAAAGAAGAAGCATGATTTTGTAGACCTCATTATTAAGCACATAGGGACCTCTGCTATCATGGACTTGTTGCTCAGGCTACTGACTTGCATAGAACCTCCACAGCCCCGGCAAGAAGTGCTAAATGTAAGTAAAGTGTCTCAGAACTTTTATCTGATGTGTGTGAACTCTAAGCTGAACTTAATTTCTGCTGGCTTTACTAAATTTATTTCTTAAATATGCTGAAATTAGATGTGTGGAGTTTTGTTTGTTTGTGGAGTTTTTTTTTGTTTTTGTTTTGTTTTTGTTGTTTTTTTTCTGACCTGCTAATACTTTTTCAATGAAACCCCAGTGCTGCCGGGGACAATTTGAAACCCCAGTGGCTGATCTCTTCTTTGGTCTTTAGTATCTAACTTGTACCTGACAGATGGAATTTTAAAGTGGTTTTGGACCTTACTGAACACACTTTTGGCATTGAAGTTTTCTTAAATTAACCTAAGGCTTTTTTTTTTTTTTTACTGTAACATTTCTGAACAAATTTTACTTTTTTTTCTGAAGTATTGTTAATCCTTATTTAGAAGTATTGACAGTACAACTTGTGGCAGTTGTTAAGAGGGTACTTTCAATTTCATGAACTCGTTTAATTTGTTCACTTGGGAAAAATCTTATTAACGTGCCCAAACATTTTTACAGTGGCTAAATGAAGAGAGAATTATCCAGCGGCTTGTGGAAATTGTACACCCGTCTCAAGATGAAGATGTAAGTATTGGTCTGACACTCTCCTGGGTCTATTTGTTCATCTGCACAACACGGTGTTAGAACTGCTGGTTTTACTGTTTGCTGCTTGCTTTTTTCAGTAAGCTRATTTCAGTATTTAGGCGTGGTTATTTGAGTGAGAGTTTGTGGTTTTGTTGACCTCTCTGCCCYCTTTTTGAGATCCGTATCAAAGCCTTAGGCRTACTTGGTGCTCTTTGAAGATCCARTTCTAATGTTTTGGTAGGAGAGTTCTTGTCCGTGTTGAAGTTTTAACATGTTTTAACTGAAGAATTAAGAGTCGAGCATTTTATTACTCTTGCAGTGAAAAGTGCTTTTTTTCTGTTTCAGAGGCATTCAAATGCATCACAGTCACTCTGTGAAATTATTCGCCTAAGCAGAGACCAGATGTTACAAGTACAGAACAGTTCAGAACCAGATCCTCTGCTTGCAAGTTTAGAGAAGTAAGTTGGTTTGAGTTTTTCATTTTATTCTGTATAAAAAATATAGTTTTTAACTTTTGCCCTTGAAAAACTTCAGAAATGGCAAGCTCTGCTTTTCAGATGAATTTTCTTTGCTACCTATCTTTTGTTTGCGTAATGAAAAACAGCTTGGCGAGTMAGCAGAGCACACCTGGAGGACTTTCTTGTGGGGAATGTGGGAGAGGAGTAGTCTCATTAAAATATTTCCTGTGTTGTCCAGTTGAATTGGATCTTACATGTGGAGGTTAGCAGACTAAATATGAGAGACTTTGGCTTTGCTCTGTTACTGGTTTTAGGTTAATATAAGTGTATCTTTCTGCCAAAGATTGTCCCGTATTCCCTTGTCCTGTTTTTTATGTGGGCAGATGGGACTTACTTCTGCTAACAGCTGTATCCTGAATTAAGGTCCTCTCATGCCGATGCTTTTCTTTTCAGACAAGAAATCATAGAACAGCTTCTGTCTAATATTTTTCATAAAGAAAAAAATGAATCTGCAATAGTCAGTGCAATCCAAATCCTATTGACCTTACTTGAGACGAGACGACAGACGTAAGTGTTGTTACTTCACTTGGTTTATGCTTGCAGTAGCAAGTGCCTTCTTTGTGCTTGTGACCAAACCATTTCTATGGCCTGTTGTAGTCGAAGGAGTAAAAATACAAATCAAGTAATTGTGGTTGGTATTACTACTCTTACACCAAATGACTGGTCTTTCTGCAGCTTATTCTAGAAGCTGGTGTAAGTACCAATTGACAGATCAGACTAACTGCATTTCACCAGTTTGTTTCTGGAATAGAGTAATAGAATACATATATAAGTACAGTGACTGAATATTGACTTCTAAAAAGTTATTACATTTGTAATGTTAYTGCAACTTCATTTGGAGAAACTGCTGAACAGATCTCTCTGGTACATTCAACTTATTTTGTTTGGGATAGACAAATAGAAGCTCTTTATCTGCTTCAGTAAAGCAAATCAAAATGGAATCTTTAATCTCAAAACTGCATTGGGGATTTCAAGCACAATAAACCTAGAAATACTAGGGCTAGTGTTTGGGAAAATCCCTTATTCAGCCATTATGTTACACTTGATTTTTATGTATGTGTAACCCTATGCTTTTGCATTTTTTGCCACTTCATTCTTTTCACATCCTTTGAGAATTGTTATATACTTCAAATACGTTTTACAGCTGGTTTTGATACTAATTATCAGATTTTGCTTATGTGCATTTTAGATTTGAAGGCCATATAGAGATCTGTCCTCCAGGCATGAGCAATTCCACATATTCTGTCAACAAAAGTGTTTTAGAAGCCATAAAAGCACGACTTTCATCCTTCCATGAGCTCTTGCTTGAGCCTCCAAAAGTAAGTGAAATCTTGTGTTACCAAATTAATTAAAGCAAGACTCACTTATGTGTCTGTTTCAGGCAGATTATAATAACAAACAAAACCCAGTCTGACAACTTTCWGGCTACTTCCTAGCCTGCTGTGAGCTTTGGCTCAGGCAAACAATAATGAACAGCAGTGTTTTGTACTTTTCCAGCATAAACTTTGTTTAATTAGCAAAGTAAGCTTGCAGCAACTACTTCTTTCTGAAAGCTACAAAAAGAGATTTGCTATATATWTTCAAGGTGGGTCCTATTTTCTGCTTGGGAATCTTATCTGGGTAGGAAACATGGCCTATAGGTGCTGCAGTTGTTTGGAACTTTGGAATGGCCCACATTAGGCTTGTGCAATTCTCTTGACTTTCCCAGGACCAYGTAGACCAACTCCATGGCATATCCCTGCACTCTAGGCATTCATGCACATCTAGGGCTTTTAAACTAATTTGAGCAACTTACTGTAAATGTATAACTAGGGAGTTTACCTGTGATCCATTTAAATTTTCCACTCACATTTTCACTGTCAGAATTTCAGCTGGAGCMCTGCACTCTGAACTGGGTGCTGCAGATTTTAACAGAGAAGGACCTATGGGCCAAAGTTCACAGAAAGACCAGAGGTGTATAGAATACCTGTTAGGGGGTCAAGGTATTGTTAGAGCTTGTTTTAGCCTGAAAAATATGAGAACTCAGTTTATGAATGTGTAAGAAGTAATAAAATGCAAAGAAACTTGCATTTGTTTTGGCATGGCAACATTCAGGTGTATATTGCAGTAAAAGCAGGGTCACATAAGATACTTGAGTATTTTCTRATGGTTGGACTTAGTGTTTGAATAAGGCATCTGGTGAAGTTACTGAATCTGTTGCTCATTTTGAGTGCCAGTTAAAAAATTTTRAATGGCAGTTCCTTGTGTAAGAATGGACTAAATGGGCTAGCAGGGTATTAGTTATCTTTTTTCTGAGGCTAGGGTGGTAGTGCTSAGGCAGCAGCAGGGTTCCAGAAGGCAGTACTGGTCCTTTTGTCAAAATGTGTGTGTGYCTTAAGCTAAGACATTTTCATTATAAATGCCCCTGTTCATTGCGTATTTGCCACTGATTTTTCTTGGCTGACACTGTCACAACAGTTCTGATTTGTTAACCAGCTAAAATAAGACATCAGAGATGATTGTTGCTTAATGAAATTGTTTTTAAGTATATGAAGTTAGGGTTGCTGAGGCATTATAATGTGTTTAGACTGTCCACCTGACTGTTCCATATATATTGTAGCAACGTAGTATATGGCTGGATTAATGAATGAGAATCATTTCTTAGGGACTTCCTATCTCCTAATTCCTTTCAAGGTTGAGTAGACTTCATCTACTTTGACATGCTGTCTCTAGTTAGCAATCAGTTTTTTTGAAGTTGTTGCTTTCATGTGACTGGTTTTAGTGCTTTCTGTCTGTGGAATTAAAATAAACTGCAGTTTTTGGAATTAAAAACAGGGTTTTTTTGCAGGATAAAGGTAAGACAATTGCTCAAGGACTAAATATATCTATTTTTAARCACTACTCAGTTGTATGTAGTAATTATGAGCTGATATTTTAAAAGRTATTTAATGATTTATGTATTGAATTTTTGCCTTTTTCAGAAAAGTGTGATGAAGACAACCTGGGGTGTACTGGATCCACCTGTGGGAAACACACGTTTAAATGTCATTAGACTAATATCTAGCCTTTTACAGACAAATACAAGCAGTGTGAATCAGGAGCTTATAGAACTTAACAGCATAGGAGTCATACTGGTAAGAACTTCATGCCRTCTTCTTTATTTTTATTAAATGCTATTACGATATTTTCTGGTTTTTTTCTGTCAGTGCAGATGGTTCTCCAACCTAACTTTTCAACCTTGTATTGTCATTTCTGTTGCTTGGTCTAGAAACTTTTAATATTGGATTTTGATGTTAATGTATCCATCTGAAGCCAGTACTTTCCTCTGACCACTTGAGCAATTATTACTTGCTATACCTTCATAAATACATGAAGTGGTTTCCTAAATAAACTTACTTTCAACTGTATGCTCTCGAGTTTTCAGCCATGTTCAAGGCTTTGTTGCTATTTAAATCTTTTTCCTAAGTTGTTCCCTCAAAGCCCWTTTTCCTCACTTAATATATCGCCTACAAAATGGTATCTCAGCAGTGTCCYATACAGGAACCATTATTCTTGGTGGCTTGTACTCCTTCAAACCTTAAAGCAAAAGCAAAGTGGTATACAACAAACTTAGTTATGTAACTCATTACTTTTGCTAATGTGAATGTGTACTTTGAGTACTTCCTACCTTATTCTTCCACTGTAGCAGATGTATTCTTTGTGTTTTGGTTCACCCAAGAAATTCARATTGTTGGCTGATTAAAAAACAACGCACAAATCATGTAGGACTTTAGCTAGTTTCTGAATACAATATGTGAGCTGCTAAATAGGCAGCTGCAAGCTTAAAGTGTAAATACTTTCTCTTCCATTTGAGTCAAAAATCCCTTTTTCCTGTGAGTGATCAATACAGTATGGTTGAAATGTTTTCATCTCAGATTTTGTTCACAGTTGGTTTGGCAGACAGGTATTAACTTTTATATAAATACTGACTTCACGGTAGCTGAAGTTTTTTCCTAGATCCATTGTCTATGGGAGCATACACACTATGAATACTTGTATGTTCTTGTAAATAGGTTGTTTTGTAAGCTAAGCTAAGCACTTTTCTGTTGCAGKTTTTACATAAGGAAAAAAGTAATTGTAGCCATAAGAACCTTGATGCTTCATGCTGTTTCCTGAAACAATACATGCTTTTCTGTGCAGACTTAGGAAAAGTTATAGGAAAATGTCATTACTTTAGAAGGACTGAAGGTAGATTGAAGACCTTTAACTGTACTTTGAATAAGACTAAAATWGTTCAATATTTCTCCAATCACTGCACGTATTTCCAGAACTCATTATATTTTACCAGTGACAAGCAATTATTTCAGTTTTGCAGTGAGTAACCTAAAATAACTAGGCTTGAAAAAAATTTTTCCAATGTTTAAGAGGCAAAATGGGGAGAAGCAGGAACATAACTAAATGGACACCTTATTGTATCTCAGCCTCAGTATTTGTCTTGTGCTTTGTTAGTGGTCTTAAACTGCTTCTAGATTTTCTAGGGAGCCTTCCATAAAAGGAGAATGAAATTTTTGGAAGGTAGATTTGAAACAAGTAGATACAATTTTTAAGGGATCTCACTGAAGTGAGGAGCACATTTATGAAAGAGTGTTTTAGATAGATGATTAAGTGAACTTGAAAAAATCAAGGACTTCTAAGGTCTTAAATAACACTTCTGACTCTGGGRTTTTCTGGGCTGCAGCTGACAGAAGGAATGTAAGTGGGGAGCATTATTTCTCCCCATCTTTGTAGTCTGAAAGTGCATTACTGGTGATGCCTGTAATAAATCCAGTTACAGTTGAGTTCTTGTTCTGATCCAGTATAGTATTCCTTGCATTCAGGTAATGGCAACCCTAAGAATTACTGGTTTTGTGGGTCACAATTTTCTCTTGCACAATAATACTTAGTRTAAAACTTGAAGAATTTCTTTCAGTGTAGTCATTAAAATTATTTGGTGGGTGAGACTCTTCGTTATGTTTAATGAAAACTTCGGTGAATTTGTTTTTCAGGACATGTTTTTTAAGTATACATGGAATAACTTTTTGCATACTCAAGTAGAAATCTGTATTGCRTTGATTCTTGCAAGTCCTCTTGAAAACACAGAAAATGGCACAATTACAGATCAGGATTCCACTGGGGACAATGTCTTACTGAAACATGTAAGTAGTGTTTTGTAAGTCTCAAATTTTCCTGTTTCCATGCAGTTAATTTTCCGTAGAATAGACCCCAATTTTCCTTAATGTCTAGAATGATGCAGAATGTCTTTCTGATTTTCCTTAAAATGTGAGTTCATGGTGTTAAACCTGAAACTGCCATAGAGTAGTTTTTTTTTGCTGTCGCAAAGTGAGCACATGTGAAGCTGCAAGTGCTTACTTTCGTGGAAGTTCCTCTTATTTTTAAAAATKAAAATTGCTATTTCAGTAGCTTTATGCTACTACAACTCAGCACTTAAAAAAGCAGAATTCATACAGGTTTAGCTTTTAGGTTTGTGATTGTGGTCTAACTGCTGCTTCTGGACTTCAACCTTTTAATGAAATCACATATCCTGAATCTGAAATTAGTTGTGTTGTAGACTTTAGTATCAACTGCAAGATACGTAAGTAGTGTAACACTTTCATGCTATTAAGCATATTTTGCTTTTTTGACAGCTCTTCCTTAAGTGCCAATTAATAGAAAGAATACTTGAAGCGTGGGAGATGAATGAGAAGAAACAGTGAGTATTTAGTTTTCTCATTCCCTGCAATTGTCTAAATAAGAGTTGAGTTGTGAAATGAATRTATAACCAATTCAGAAGTGATCTAGCCAGTTCTGAAATCATTTGTATGTTAACATTTGGGTTAAAGCTTTCTTTTTACTTTCTGGTAGCATTCCAGTTTCTTTCTCCTGTGGCCATTTGAGAYCACAAGAGTTGTCATTCTTGCCATGTATAAGATATTATTATGATTTTTAAAGTTTACCCATGTTTGAGTACAGAATCATACTGTAAGTTTTGAGAGGACRGGACATATTTTCCCCAATAAGCAGTTGAGAATTATTTGTGAACACATGGAGCATWTCATATACTGGGGAGCATGAGACTCCTAAATACTAAAAGCCAATTCCTCAGCAATTGAATACATTCTAGAATTATGTGTTTGAAAGGATGTAAGCTTCAAGTAAATAACATTGTCTGAAACCGTTTTTGTAGTAGGAGAAAAARTCCTAAGTCACCTGAGGTGGTAAAAAGTTTTCTGAAGGCCCATACGTCATTTCAGCTCAGGAGATACTGAGTAAATATTAGTTCTGACCTGTCAAAATACTGARTTAACTGGGATAGTGCTGCTGGTTTGATGATATGTTAAGAGAGTTCCACTCCCCTAAACATTCCTGTTCCTATCTTAGGTGAATCAGATAGTAAAAATATGGCTAATGTAACTGACCTGGAAATARGGATGGTGAAGAGGGGGATAACAAAAAAAAGGAATGTGCTAAATTTTAACTGTAGAGGATATGCTCTCCTGAATGTCTTCTATTTTTTAACAGTTCTTCTGAGGTTATGGMGAACTGCCAACTTTACTGGCAATTAACTTTTCATATTTCTCTCCTATGAGAATCTTTCTCTCTAACTCCAACCTAAAACTCAAGTTCTWTTTGGATAAGACTGTTCTTGATTCAGTGCTTACCGTATGAATCGTTTAATTAAATATCTAGTCTCATGTCTGTGAATACTAATGAAGAAAATAGTGTTTCAAACCTTAGGTTGTGCAAAGTTGTGTGTGTTCAYACCTCTTCGTACAAGTATGGCTCCAACTATAAAAGATAAATCTTTAATGGTATTTTTAGCCTAGCTGTTTGAGGAAATGGATATTTTTTTAGTCCATTGATATTCTATCGATATTATTTCAAGTAGCTCTAGAAACTTAAGGGTGACTGCGTTCTTCTGGTAAAAATCTGACATAGAAAAAGTTGTTTGGTTTGCTRGGATTAATAAACATTTGCTAACAAAAGATACAGCTGTATTCCAGACTTCCTCTCTAGGCAATGACAAGTCAGTCTAGTTTGTGAAATAGGAGCACTCTGTGTCATATTCTGTATTAGAAATATAGCTTTTGCTATCATCATGTGCTGCTTGTTTTGCATGTACTTGTTACTTAAGCAATCGAGGGAATAAAACAGGAGTCTCAAGTTGTTCTGAAAACAGTGTGGTAGTTCAATTCATGGTATCTTGCATAGACATAATTTCAGTTACCTCATGTGTTAGATATTGATGGTGTAAAATAAAGTTAYGTGATTTTTGTTTGTATAACATGAGTTACTTAATGAACTGCTGTCCCTGTACAAAGATTTCAGTCGTGGGAGGTTTTTCTAGATGGGTAAGGGGGTTGTTCTTGGTTTTTGTTTAAATCACAAGCCCATAAACTGCAGCAAAAGTCTGGTTGGCTTGCAGCTAAATGATGGGAAATCAGTTCAGATTGGGCCTCTCATTATCACCATTTGATCAGATTTAGGATGGTTCCAGCTGATAGTAGGTGTTCAGAGCACTCCTCTAACATCTAGCAATTCCTGTTTCTGCAAAGGAGTTMTATCTGAAATATTCAAAGGGCATTGCAATTTTATCTTTGGTAAGCACGYAAATGTTGTTCCTAAATTTCAGGAAAGCAATGACCCTAACTTGAATGGGTATGCGAAATTCAATGCTAAGAAGCCCTGAAATCCTAAAGCACACTTAGGAATACTTTTTCCTTTTGATCATATGCTCAAAGCTCTGAGGGAAAATTTGGTGTTTTGGGGTTTTTCAAARTATTCTTGGCAACAGAAATTTCCTAAAAACTCTTAATCTGTTGCTAATTCTGTTATTATTTCGTTAATGCTGTGCATTTTGATTTCTACACACATGCACAAGCAATATAAACACTTGGTTCTTRGTACTTTATGTGCTTGTTAAGTCTCCTAAACTGGCTCGGTGTAGAAAAACCAGTTGATACCTTAAGTTCTTGAGTATTTTTGTGAACCTTTGGTTTCAGGATGCAACTCTAACTTAAGAACCCCTTTCATTTGTGTTGTGTAACATCTTGACTCTGGCAGTGTTAATAACAGCATGGAGTATCAGAGTTGCTCTGAGTGCAGGCAGTTGAACTCCCTTTGTCTCTTGCAGGGCTGAAGGAGGAAGAAGGCACGGCTACATGGGTCACCTGACAAGGATAGCAAACTGCATTGTGCACAGTACAGATAAGGGCCCAAATAGCACACTAGTCCAGCAGCTCATCAAAGGTATTCATTCATGCTCTTTACTTTATCTTCAGGGCTTTTATTATCAAATGCTGAGGAAATCAAGCAAACCAAACTTAGAAGGCAGCTGGTRGATTAAAGAAGAAAATGCTGGATTATTTCTGAAGCATTCAATTTAAAGTAGCCATCCTTAAACAAATGATTACATATTTTTCTTTCAGTGTCAAAGCTTCCTGAAGTAGATGCAAGGAGATGCTAACCTGCATAATTTGGACTTGTTTGCTAGATGGAATTACATTTATGGATTTAGGAGGATGCATATGTTCTTACCAGTATTTTAGGGGAGCAGAAAAGACCATTTGAAAACTAAATKATGCTTCATTGTTAATAGTGTCAAACTGATTTGGTTTTTTTGTTTCCTGTGCTAGAGCTTCCAGAGGAGGTCAGAGAGCGATGGGAAACATTTTGCACAAGCTCTTTAGGAGAAACCAACAAGAGGAATACAGTGGATCTGGTAAGTAGTGGTGGGTAAGGTATGAAAATTGCTGCTGCTTTACTTGGACTACAGTTTCTTTTTGTCAGCAGCACTGTCAGTCTTTCAAAAATACAGTGTGCAGTCCCTCTAGCTGCTGAGCTATGGAACTGACAATTCTTTAGTTTACTTTTCAACTAAAGCCATATCATTAATATTKGTGCAGGCATAATGCAGAAGATCAGCTTGTAATAGCTAGCTAGCTCAATGCCTATGTAGCTAATCCCAGGCAATCTTCAAGAATGAGGTTTTCTTTATCTCTTCAAGGTAGTGTCCTTGAAAACTCCTGTCTGCTTGAGAGTACAAACTTAAAAGTGCAGGAGCTGGTGTTAGTTGCTTTATCTACAGGGTGTGAATAACCCAATACAAGTTTAACAGAAGATTGCCACCTGCGTTCCGCTGCCTGCGTTACTAACCTTGCTTAAGTTAACTTTCCATACTGTTGTGCACCTTGTCTTCTGCATTCAGTTGTAGTGATTACAMTTCTRGAAAAACACTGAATTCCAGTAGAAGATGTTTGTGTAGTCATGTTAAAAAGACATTCTAGGAGTAATCACTTGGAGACTTTAATCAGCAGAGGCTGTTTCCAATGTCATCAGAGCAGTTCATGAATTTTAATGTACCTGGCTTCTCTAGGAATGCAGTGCTTTGCATGTGGTTTCATTGGCTTACACTAGTCCTATATTATTTGGACTATAAGACTAACTAATTGTTGAATTTGCTATTTCAACATAAATATTAACTGCAGAATAATGTTAGCAGGTATAAATAGAAGTAATAGAAAATTCATCTGAAACTGTGCAAGTTGTGAACAGGACCAAATGATCTACCTAAGGCATTTTTTCTGGAGCATGTGAGTGCAAACAAGTGTGTAGTGCTTCCAGATGAATGTTATTTTTCCTCTGGGTAGATGCTACTTCTTGGTCAAGACCAGGAGAAGGATCATGTAAAAAGAAAGAATTTTAGTCTGACTTATAAAAAATAACTCTAATTAGCTCTTTAGATACATAATCACATGCTTGAATGTACTTGACATAATAAAACATAATTGAAAACCTACCTCCAAACTCCCCAGTTTTTGTAGAATAGAAATACTAAGCATTAAAACAATTCCTTTTTATCTGAAATAAATGAGTACATTATGCCAATGACCCAGTTTCTTTGTATAGGTTACTACCTGCCACATTCATTCTTCCAGTGATGATGAAATAGACTTCAAAGAAACTGGCTTCTCACAGGATTCTTCTTTGCAGCAGGTGAGTTGAATTCTTTTGATAGCGTAAGTTGCTCTTGCTGTAAAAGTAAATTAAGACACTTTTCAAAAAGCAGTGGAATTTTTATTTTCTCTCACAAGTAATTRGAAACCTAAAAAGTTTTAATTAAAACTTAGACATGTGTGCATGCACACAGCTCTGTCTTACCAAACTTATAATATGCATCTGTTTGAATTCGTTTTCTGGTAGTGAAAGAGTGGGAGTCTTGTGACACAAGATTGCCAGTAATCACTTAGATGAAATTAGATRCTTTAAATGGCATTATTTGTCTGGGTTACTAATCAAAATCTTTCAGATTACACTAGCAGCTGTGTAGTAACTACCTAGTCTGAGACTGGCTTTGGTATTTTCTGAATCTTCTATAGTTTCTATAGTAAGTAATTGCTTGTCTAATTTTTTAAGTACAAGCATTTACTGATGTGAATTGTGGGTGGTGGCTCAAGCTTAAAGAATCTGATGCATTTTTATCTGATTTAGTGTTTTTGTACCTGTAAGGTGCACCTATATAAAAACGTGTTGAGTTGGGTGCTATCTGTAGCAGCTTTAGTGAGAAAGTAAGATCTTCTAATATCTCTGTGCTTTTCATGCATCCCCTTAGTGACCTGCTGTGCCTAGGCAATCCCAGCAGTTCCAGGTAGTTAATCTGGAGAAATGCAGATGGTCCAGTGCTGCTTCTTTCAAGTTTGTCTTGCTGTAAACCTCCTCCTTCTATATATATATATATWTTTTCTTTTTCCTTCAGTTTTCATAGTGCCTTAATCTAAACTTGGGGTTTTTGGATCGTTCTTTTGTTTTCTTTCCATATTCACTTTGTTCAACTTTGCCACCATACTGTGTCCCTTCAGCTACCCAGGCAAGAAGCCAAGAGAGTTGACACGACAGCTTTATTTCYGAAAATATCTTAATTTGGCTGACTTTACACATGGAAATAACATTATTAAAAGTCCCGAGAGAATGTGTAATAATTTATAATTTAATTATAGTCCTGGGAAATAAAAGAAAAAAGCTGTTGTTATGGAGAGATGCTGCCCACATGTACCTTAGTGTATATAGCCATCTGCTGGCAGTTGACACTGGCATCTTTATTTAAGAAAACAGCACAGTTGTGTTAGTGACACTGCACTGAGATGTAAAATGTTAAGTGGTTTCACTCCTTTAGATATTTAATAGATGCTGCTGGTGTGTGTTCCCAAGACTGATAATGCTAGTGACACCTGCGTAATAAATATGCAGCTGTGTGTTAGTATCTATATATAGGTTTCTTTTCTGTTTTTTATTACTTATAACTTCATGTTATTTTGAGCTAAGATAGCTTTTTCTTTTAAATACTATACTGGATTGTTTCTCTGTTTCTTTGGGGTGCATTTGAAAAGGTGCTGGTTAATGTGATTAAATTACAGATTTAACTTTTTTAGTGAAAGCCATTAGATTAGTTTTGAAATTAGTAGATAAAAGTAGGGTTGTAGTTGATGCTACCATTCAAAATTCAGAGGTTAAGAGAAATAATTTTCCTGTCCTTTTATGTTTAGTTTAGATAGACTTTTATTTCTTTGAAGCAAAATGGGCAAATAGATTTTAGAGTATTAGTAGAATCATTATATCACTGTCGTTGGTCCTGGGGTTGCCAGGCCTTTTCTGATTATCAGATGCAACAAATGACGTCCAATTTTATTGACCAGTTTGGCTTCAACGATGAGAAGTTTGCTGATCAAGATGACATTGGCAAGTGAGTATAACGTTACACTGGCTTTGGCTATAGTCTTGTGAGTTTTCTTTCTTTCTTTGTTTTTGGCTTGATAAGTACAAGCATTTACTGATGTGAAGCAGTTGCCAATCCGTCCTGTCTTTTTGTACCATCTGTGTGCATKGATAGACACCTCCCTAAACAGAGGAAAGCAACAGCTTCTCTTACTTTCCTAACTTCCTGGTTGTGCCAATGTTGAGAMTGCTGTGCTTGAGAATAAAAAACTGAATTAGAACTCTGCTTTCTAAAAGCAGTGGCGCTCTGTTGAGCTGACATTGTTTTGGTCACTTTTTCACTTTTTGTCTGYGTCAAAGTGGGTTTTTCCTCCTGCWGATGACCAGATGAACAGCTSTATTTCTAAGTTTTCGTGGAAAAGATCACAGGAAGAACATGACTTTTCTGTAGGGGAGGGTGTACTTTTCKGTAGGGGAGAGTAAGGAAGGGCATTGTAAATCTACCTTTTTCATAAGGTCAATGCAGTTAAGACTTATTTCTGCAAATACAGTGAAAGATGGGAAAATGAGAACAGTCTTKGTCAGGTTAGAAAAAAAAACAARCTAAACAAAAACCAGCACACAATAAAATACACCCCTTACAAAAATCGKTTTCTTTCTTCATAACTGAGCTGATGCAATAAAGGGAAAAACGAGAATGGAGGTTCTTGCTGATGATAGAATTGGTCATGGTTTTTGTAAGATTTCATGGTTTGGGATACCAGAACATGCAGATAGGAATAAAAACCATTACTTCAAGATTCTTAGAATGGTATTTTTATAATAATCTCCGTTCTCTTCTGTAAGAAAGGTTTAGTAAGTGGTGTCTGACTGCTGTTTGTGTCTTCCGTCCAAGAAGCGTTACTACCTTTTTATACCACATAATCTGCTGAGATTAGAGATTAAAATATAATGTTAGGGGAGGTAACTTGGGCTGTTCCTTAACTTTGTCAGAACCAAGTGCATTTTGGCAAGGATASGAGTTAGAATTACTATAAGCTCATGCCTTTGAAAGTCTGCTATCTTGGTAGAAAGATGATGACTACTTATGTAAAAAGGTCTCAAGATTTATGACAGATACACTGATGATGTATTCATGAGTTGAATTAAACTGTAGTTGAAGGTACTTTAAAGTTATGCCCTCTGTGCAAGAATTAGTTACACTCTTAAGTTACCTGCATACTGTTGTACAGTAATTCAGATGGTGGCTTGCATGGTAATACAGTCACCCTTCCAATTTAGGTTCCTTTACACCACTTACATTTTTCCCTACTTTGTAATGCAGTGACTATTCGAGGAAGACTAGTTGTACTCTGCTGAATGTGCAACTGGCTAGACAAAGAATATATTAACTCTTCTCATATGTAAAATGKGTCAAGCCTAATATGTAGTGTGATATTTGGGAAAATATTTCAGTGATTGGTTAATAAAAGTACTTGTGGGATTCTTTTGGTAGGAAACAGATTTTGATATTTTTTTWAATTTTGTCCCTTCCTGTTGAGAAGGTCCTTTGATAGAGGTGTGAAATCAGTTAAAATATATAAGAACTGCAGATGCAGGTATTTGCAGGATTTTGAGCTGTATCATGGTACACTTTAATCAGGTTAGGCATTCTTTAGGCTTAGGTTTTTTCCAGTGCATAACAGTATAGGATTTGAGGTTTGGGTATATAGTTTCAGTTATGCTTGTTTAGGCTTGTTGCATCTTTACACCTAACTATAGATGGCAATGTCTGGTGGTTTTGTTTAAAATATTTAACAGTTAGAAAAATCATGGGAATGTCAGGCCTCCTTGTTGTGTACTTTTGACTGTTTTGTATTGGAGGCTACTTTGTGTTTTATCTTCTATTTTGAGATTATTGGAAAGTAAGAAACTAAAGAGAAATTAAATGTCTTCATGTCACCAGAGAAAATTTTGTTTTATTGAGTGAATTTCTTTTCTTCTTGTAGTGTTTCTTTTGATCGGGTTTCGGACATCAACTTTACCCTCAATACTAATGAAAGTGTAAGTATGTGTTCCAGTATTGTCAGAAAAARTACTTTTAACTTTGGCATGACCTCAAAGTTTTGGCAGTGGTTATATTTACTCCTTTTATGTGGAAATTACTGGAAAATAATTTCCCTACCTTATTCCCATATCATGAGATTTGAAAGACACTATTATTGTTCTTTTTGATCAGTATTAAGCAGAACTGTTTCTAATTTGTATTGCTGGGTTTAAGRTTGGGCTTAGATCTGATTTGTGCATATTGCGCATTGGAGTTYTATGACTAGAAGCTATTTAAATCTTCAGTGAGATTGTAGTGATGGGAAAATAAGAACAGAGACTCTGAATCTTGACATTATTTGTTGGTTGAGCTAAAATGACCCCCCACTACAGAGAATAAAAGTTGGGAGTACTTTGTGCTCTGGCTATCTGGAAAGCTCTTTGGGGTCACTACCTCATCCTATTCTTATGATGGAAGCTCCTAAGTGTTCTTTGGTCTACTCAGCTTGTTAGTAGCCAAGTAAAACAAGCAGCTCTGCATATTTTCTTGGCAAGTTTTAAATTAAGATATTCCAGTTGTCTCCTGCTTTTAGAGAAATACTTAAGATTCACTTCAGAATAGTCATATATTTTCAAGACGTTTCATAATGGTAACGTGGATTTTATACTTTTTCAATATTTAGGGCAATATAGCCTTATTTGAGGCATGCTGTAAGGAGCGGATACAGCAGTTCGATGATGGTGGCTCTGATGAAGAAGACATTTGGGAAGAAAAACATATTGCATTTACACCAGAGTCCCAGAGGCGTTCCAGGTGAGAAGGGTGTTTCTCATCCAAGCAGCAGTGTGGCAAGCTTGCAGTAACGCACCTGTGCTCTGGTTCGATCTGTCTGTTAATACAGATTGTCCAACATAGCTAAGTACTTCCATTCTGTGGAGAAGTGAGTGGAGATGTGGCTCTAGTGTTTTGTTTTCCAGCCATAATTTACACAAGGTGCACTCTGGCTTTCATAGCTTGTTGGTTTGGGCTTTTTCCCCTGCTGTGTGTTTTTTCCCTTTCCTTTTAAACTTGCCCGGCCATCCTTGTCTTGGACAAGGCAGCCCAGCTCCACAYCGCGGTAGACCTTGCTGTCTGCTCTGCAGAACCAGTGGCTGTGAACATAGGARAATGCATTGAGTGGAACGAGCATCTTGTCCCCAAAACTCAGGGCTGTGCAGCCTCCCTTGATGTCTGCTGAAAGCCTCTTCATGTGATCAAGTGAAAAAAACGTAAACCTTGTTTTTTTGAGAGAGAAATGAGGGGAATACTAATAGCTAAAAATTATACCTCAGGTAATCTGTCACAAATAATTGTTGTAATTCTCTTTAGCCTGAAACTGCAGTATTTCRTTGTGCCCAGGGTGTTATGCTAAAAACAGAATATAAACTCTTCTTTGTGTTTGAAGTTCGGGCAGTACAGACAGTGAAGAAAGTACTGATTCTGAAGAAGAGGATGGAACTAAACAAGACTTGTTCGAATCCCACACCAATACAGAGGACAAAATGGAAGTAGACTTAAGTGAACGTATGTAGTTTTTTTCCCTGCTGCTTTGGGATATAGGAAATTGTTAGATCTAGCCTAATTCTTTAGGGGTTTCCTCATTTACTGCTTTTATTCTGCCTGTCTTGAAGTAGTCTTTCCCACTTGCAACAGAGCATGCAACTATTGGRAAGTTTGAATTCCTTACATGTCTTTAAATTATGCTCTCTAAAATGCATGTTTCTACTCTTCAAGAGTTAAAAAAGGAGTAATTAAAAAGGGGAGGATTRAATGTACTCATTTATAAATATTGAATGCCTACAAAACCTAATAGGTTGTTAATCTCCAAACCCAAAATAGGGTATTTTTACTGGAAGCTATTCAGACAGCTTTTCATCTAACAATGCTCTTTTAAAAGACTTTCTGCAGAAGCTAAGTGAAYCTGCATTGTTTTGGTTTCAAATATGAATGAAAGATACACATCAGGAGACTCTTTATGTGGAATCTTAACTGATGTAATTGGTTGAAGAGTTTTCACATGCAATTCAAGACTAAACTGGCTTTTGTTAAACTGGCAGTGTCTGTAGGTAAAAGCCCTGTGTTTATCTAGACTGTAAGGAATTAAATTAAAATAGAAGGAAAAGTTAAGGGTTTTCTTTTCTTTTGTCAGATTGGTGTCGTTGGCATCTGTGTGTCAAACAAGTTTTGATCCATGTGGGTCTCCTCCCATATCTGCCTGGGTTGGAATTTCTAATTGCTAGTCAGAGCTTCCTTTTCAGCCTGTTTTTTTGTATGTAAGTGTTAATGAAAAACATGTTTCCCTTGGGTAGGTGAAGTATTTTGAATTGACCTATCCTAAATTAGATGCTATTCACAGTTGCTCCCAAATTTAAAATACCAATAAACATTTTAAGTTGTAAAAAGCCTTAAACTTTTCTGAAACYTAGCAGTGGTGTTAGTGCATGAGAAATTATTTGAAGAAATTGAAAAAGGGATGAAAACTCCTAAGATTTTTGCTATTATAGAAATCAGTTTTGAGAAATGGTAACAGATGTTGATGTTAATTTAAGGATAAAGTGGGATTATACTTGTGATCTAATACATTTTATTAGTTTTGTTCTTCAGATAAACTGTATTTTTTAGCAGAGTAGTCTGAGTCACTGATTTTAAAATTCTGCCTTACTAGCAGAATTTTTATTTTAGGGAATACATTCATTTTTTAACAGGACGTACAGGATTTTTCTGCATGTTCTTTGAAGTCTAGTTATGARTTTTGCTTCTCTTTATGGAATGTACATAGAGAGAATCAGTGTGGTAGGCATATGTGCACTCATGTTCTTTWTTGAAATTAGTTCCTAATGAACTTCATGGTGGCTTTTCAGCACCTAACTGGTCAGCAAACTTCGATGTACCCATGGAGACTGCCCATGGTGCCAGTCTGGATTCTGTTGGCTCTGCTGTGTGGAGTACTGAAGCACCTGTGCCAGCTAAAGAAACAGGCTGGGCTTCCTTTTCTGACTTCACATCCTCTTTGAGGTAAGAATTTGAGATGAATTTGGTTTTCTTGGGGTGCCCATCTCCACACAAGCCTATGTTCTGGTGGAATACAAGGTGTATCTAAAGTATCTGAAGAACTCCTTGTGTTCCAACAGCATGTGTCTGTATGATCTCCCYTTGCAGGATAGGTGGGTGCTAGTGTCATCATTTTAAGTGTTTTTATGAACATTTGGGTCCTTCAGTATAAATTGGTCTCTGACCAGTTTGGACTGTAATTTTTTTATTATTTATTTTTAGTGTAGACTGAAATAAACTGTTAAATGTAAAGGTTACAAAACGCTTGAAGATTCTGTTCTGTGGAGTTATAAAACAATTAGGTTGGGTTCTTTTTTTTTTTTTTATTTCATCTAGTTATGCAGCTGTGATAACTAGGTTAAGTAGTTCTGCACTATTTTGACAGAACACAAGATAATGCTGTTCTTTTTTTGAATTGAACTCTACACTCTGCTGAAGCCTTGTGAAGTATGTACCTAATCAAATAGATGTAAATTTTGAATTGCCAAATATTGGCAGTCAAGAACTGATTCCATCTCAGAAGACTTTCCTTTCATGATGTATTTGGCTTTTGACTTTCTGTCTGGGCATTAAAACAGCTCAGATATGAAAGTATGACTTTTTCCARCATAAAATGGTGTTGTTTTATGCTTGAGGCTGGTAAATTAATAATCTAATTAAGGGCCTAAAAAGCGAAGACTTGGAGTTGCTGAATAGAAGAGACGTTCTGTAGTGATTTTTTTCAAGGGGCCAAATCTTGTCTTCCGAGTTAATTTAGAATGAAAAACTTGTAGCTATACCGTATATATGACTGCATTGGCAGTCTCAAAAGAGAACTATCAAGCTGGAAAAAAAATGCATTTAGAAAATCAGTTAAAAATATTTGGAAACAATGTGAAGAGCTGGTGACACCTTTGTGCCRTATTTACCAGGGACGGGTCCACTACTGCTTGTAATGTAACTAAATCAAGTAAGTAAAAATAAAATGACCATCAAGCATCCTCAGCTTGGTTCTGGTGGATTTTGCATTACCAAACTTCTATTTAGTATGTCTTTCCAAGACGCCTAAAAACAAACCTGCTGTAATTCAGTTTCAGTAGAGTCCTAGACCTTAAAGCTTTTACTTTATAGAGAGCTAATACTGTTTTAAGAGCACTTCATTCTGCTCTTCAGAAATGTTTCTAAAGCTTTTTTACTGTATTTGAAGCTCAAAAGACTCCTTGCGAAGTAATTCTCCTGTGGAAATGGAAACAAACACAGATCCAGGTGATCCCTTGAGTGCAAATGTAACTACTCTTGCARCGCAGCTAGAGAGTAAGTAAACTGCATTTACAATTGCAGATGTCTTGAYTGTACCAGTTGTACCTAAGAAAAATCTCCCTGAACTTTTAAGATTATAATAGTGACTTGTCAAATAATTTCTAAACTATTTGAAATAGTTTCCAGTTTAAAACAGAGCTAGTGTTACTGTTAGCTCTAGAAACAAAGTGTGTTCTGTTAGAGAATCCTCTGACTTGTGTCAGCATTTAGCTGAGCTGATGCCCAAGAGTGGTAACCTCCAGTCTTGTCCTGTGTGGCAATAAGCCAGCAGCCTCAATGTGTTCAAATTTCTCCTTCCTGCTTGTGCCTTTCTAAGTAACCTTCACTACGCATGCACTAATTGTTCTACATGGATGAGCTGGTTAAAAGGACAAAAAAATGTTGATGAGCTTTTTTTTTTTTTTTTTTTTTTTTTTTGTTACGAGAGAGAGCAAAAGTGCAGGTGAGAAGTCCAGGCAGACTGGATTTCCCAAGGTTTGTCTGTCCTTGGAAATGTAGTGTCATGTTGGTAATGTGTAAACTTGTAATGAATTTGACTGTRCAGAAAAATTGTTCATCACTTACTAAAGCCTTGTTTAGGCAAAACTTTTGCTGTAACCTTTGTCAGTCAAAATGAAAAAAAGTTACAGACTGTGGCTTTTTCTTAAGCCATCTGTAAGTAATACTCATTCTCTCTCTATATGTGGCACTTGCAGAAATGTGACATTCTCTGTAAGGAAGAATTCAAAAAGTATGCAAAACTGTAAAAATACTKTTCTTTTTATATTGGCTTATGTGCTTGCTCATGAAATTGAAAGGTAGCAGTATTAAATAACTGCTATTTCTACTTGTAGCCCCAGGAAGTGTTGCTATGGAGGCCAGCTCAGATGGAGAGGATGATGTGGAAAATGCAGACAAGGTAACTGAGACAGTCATGAATGGCAGCATGAAGGAGACACTCAGCCTAACTGTAGATGCTAAAACTGAAACGGCCGTTTTCAAAAGGTGAGAATGCCTATTTATTATTTTCCCACCTTGTAAATAAAACACTGTTGATGGAACACAACATCATCAAAGAGAGAACTTTTTAAGTCGTAATTCCTGGCACTTTAATTAGAAACCTTTCAAAGTAATTGTTTTGGAATTTTACTAGTTAATAAACTAGTAAATAAACTAGTTAGTTTGTTTAACATGTGGCTTTACTTACCAAGCCTTAGTTTGAGTGGAAGGTTATTAGCAGAAAACTTTTGTCCCTGATGCACAATATTGTGTGTTTTTCATGTACAGTTCTTTTAACAGTGCACATCAAAACTCAGCTTTTAAAATTTTGCACAGAATTTTTAGATTTGTATTGGAATTGCATTCTTYTCATCCAGAAGAGTGGAAGATAGAAGTTGAAGGCCATGCAAGCACTRCTTTTGAGCATAGCTCATCAGACACTTGGGATGATCACTGCTGGTGCTATGCATGATGGTGTTAAATTTATTCTGGGCTACAAGCGGCACATGGAATTCTGGGAAAAACAACTTCTTAATTTTGCTRTCTTTGGATGCAAAGTGCATTATTCAGAGTGTCTTACAATATGGTCAAATTCTGTATTATGTATATGAACATTGTGATCCTTTTACGAGAAAAAAAGCACATTTCAGTGTTGTCTGCTCCATCCCATCTACTAAGATCTGGTGATCTTWGACTTAATGATCAACTGTGTTTTAGTTAGTATCAAATATGTGTGTAGGGAAACAGGCTACAAACAGTCTGACCTGCAAAAGTTTTGCCTTTATTGAAGTTGGTGTGTCCTGCTCCATCCTGATGTTCACAAACTGGAATGCACTGTTAGAGCATTTTGACATGCAACTCTCTTTGCATTCTTTTAGAATAACTTCTATTACCTGTCTGATTCTAGCTTCAAATATTGAAAAGAAATTGTCAATATGTCTTTGAAGTGGCTTAAAAAAAAATGAGTCAATTTCAGTGTGAGAAACTTTTCCAGTGTTAATCCTTACATTGACTATTGTTTAAATTAATTTTGCTTCATCCTGTTAGTGGTAGGAGATAATTCCTAAGTCATCCAAAATGAATAGATACACCTTGAAAACCAAACAGCTTTCCGTCACTGTTGCTTCCATTCTTTTGATTATGAGTGATTGAACTTCTGATGGTTTTTCAGCACAGAGGAGGGAAAATCTATGACTTCACAGTGYTTCTAAATCAAATGACATTGATAGGGGAATGAACCAAAGCTCTTTAGAGAAGTGTTGGGACTCCATCCAGATTGATGACATGAGCTCATCTATAGTGCATTGCTGATTTAGTAAATTATGTGTTTGCTCTCTAGTTTTTTCTGTGTTTTGGACAATGGTTTTACGTGGTCTTTGCTCTTAGATGCTTGCAACTTTGATTTAGTTATCCATGGCATCTTTGAACTTCTCCATAAACTAATTTAGCTCACATGCACTTTGAAGTTGGGTGACTTGTGATACTGGTGCAAAAACTAACATCAGGAGGCAGCATCTGGTGACACTTCCTGCCTACCTTCATAGAAGTTCCTGCTGAAACAGCAGTTAAAAGGACATCAACGTTTAAAGGGAGGCAGTATCATAGAATTGTCCCAGTAAGAAGGGACCTTGAAACTTTATCTGGTCCAGTCTTGTAAGGAAGCCCAGATGAGACTACCTGGCACTCTGCCCAATTTCATGTTGAAAACTTCTAATAATGGGAACTCTGGAAAGGAAATKTTAAACATACAAGGGGGCTCAAAGATGAGGTCTTAAATACAGAGGTGGTTCTATGGTGATAGAGATGTGCAACTTCATAATGAGTCAATGCTCAAGTGGCATTTTTTAAAGCAGCTTGCTGGGAAGAGSTGTAAATTAAGGGACAGTTGGAGTGGTGAGAGGAAGTCCTACTYTGGCCTGTTTGCCTTTCAAAGTGGATGCTTCCAGACTTCAGGTTTATCTAGGTTTCTGTCAACAGAAAGTTGATGGTGTTGAAGTCAACATTGAGGAGATAATTATAAGCACAGTAGTTAATTTGTGGAAAACTGCAAAGGACAAAAGTGTGATTTCTGAACTTAGTTCAGAGTGGAAAGTAAGAAGGAAGAATGCTAGCAGAGACTGCCTCTTTAAAAAAAACTAGGACACCTCTTCTGATGGTGATGGTGACAAGTATTTTATTTGGAAGGAAYATAAAGAGTATCAAGGCAAACTAAATGGGGAGATTAGATGGGGAAAACTTGATGAGAGATTGCAATACAAAAGACAGTATTTTTGCAGGCGCTGCAGGATAGAAGGAGAAAAGAGAAGGATTCATTGAAATTTAAAGGATCCATGGAAAGGAGAACTGTGAGAATAGGAAGAAAACCAGCAGAGGAGATTGGCACTTCTTGAATAAATAGATTTGTTTCCACAGAGGTATAAGATTGATGTTTGTCTGCTTCAGAGCTCCTTTATAACTATATCTTGCAGGTATATATGATCAAATTTGTATTTTAGTGTACTCATAATGGTGTGACTGAGGTGGAAGAGGGTGGAATAGAGAGGCAGAAAAGTTTGGGTTTAGAAGCAATACAGAAGATCTGTTTGCTAATGACTTTTGAGGCTGCCTGGTTACATGGTACTGTCTTACATAGTGTGATTGTACTTTTTCATTGAACTTTGATTTTGTCTACAAGAGGAAGTTYGTGAAGTAGATTGGGCTGCAGTCTTTGTACCCCATAAACCATACATCATATTCACTGTGGAGTTATTAGGGAGTTTAATGTGTAAGATGGTGATGAATTAATGATTTTGCTATATGTTTCATGGACAGACTTTATTAATGCCAATATCTGAGGGAATCTTGAATTTCTTTTATACTTTCTTCCATTTTTGCATACTTCTGGCTTCAGAGTGTTGAAATCCTATCGGTATGTATAGTAAAGGATTGTAACTGTGGTTGTTATCACTTCAGGCATCACATACATTCCTTATTTCCTTTCTGATCTTATTTGCAATCACTGTGTTCCCTGCCCTTTTATCCAGTCAAGTTTTAATGGATGTAAACACCAGTGCATCATTAGGTGTTTGTAAAGTCTAGAGCCATGTGCTTGATCTTCATGTTGCAGTCATAACTTAAAATCCATTTGCATGTAAAATATGGACCCGTCTCAGTTTTCTCCTGTTGCCTGAAATTGCCCATAAATAAACTTAAAAGTTAAATAAATTAAATAACTTCTTGCTTTTGTTTTGTTTTGCTTTTTTAAGTGAGGAAGGAAAATTGACTACCTCGCAGGATCCTTCTTGTAAATATGTAGTAGAAGAGAATACAGAGGTTGCAGAAGAGGTCCCTTCAGGTCTTCAGCCTAGTAACAGCAGTCCAGAACAGAGGTAACTGCATTYAAGGATGCTTTCAATTCTCTAAATAGCAGTTTGTGTGCTTTTCTGGTAGGATTGATCTGAAGAGATTGAGCTTAGCTTAATATGAAAATGTGCTTGCATCTATTTTATTAAATTCTCACAAGTTGAATTTTCTGTTGTTTCTAAGACTTTTGAGTCATCAAATATCTACTTTTCTTGTAGGGAGTTGTAAGTATCCCCATTCTGGTTTGTGGCAATGTTACCAAGTTAGAATAGTGAATTGATGCACAGATCTCTACTGAATGTTCTGATTRTCCTGTATGTAGACTAAAAGCATGTAAGCATGTTTGGCAAATTTAGATTCTGATTCTGGTTTTTGAGACTTGTTTGTGAGCCAGTATGTGATTAGGTCCTTTCTTCTAACTTTCTGCTCTGCATAAATYTCGAACTTGATCAAGAAGGGGATTCTAATCAGAACAAACAACCCTGTATAATTSAAGTGGGAAACCCAAAAGCTCTTTCACTGTCTCTTCTAGAGATACTGTCTTTATCAAGATGACAATATTTTTTTAATGCTGATAAGCATTAAATTGTAGGGAAGAAGTCCTTGGGTACTGGGCGATTACCTTTTGAGTAAAGTGCTTGTCTGAACCAACAGAGGGCTCTCAGAGCTAGCAGTTTGCAGATTGCCTTTGSGTTGTGGGAAATCTCAAGCAACTTCTTTCATTGAATCCTGTTGACTTCAGCAAAGCTCAGTAGTTTCTCTAAAGGTGGCTGTCACAGTAGATCCTCGTAAGCACGGGATAAATACCAAGAYAAACATAATGGTGCTTTTGGGGCTCCATGTATGTGTGACTAGTGGGAGGAGTCCCCTAGGTAGGTCTCTGGCTGGTGGCTAGCAAGAGTAATCTCTGCTAGAAGMCCTGTTCTGTCATGGACTTTTTTCCATTTAATAAGTGAGTGACAGTCATGCAGGCTGTCACAGTTCCTGTCCATGCAGTATTTGTYTCTTACCTTCCAGATTCCTCTAAAAAGTGTTTGCTTTTGTCTGGTGCTGTCTGTCTTTTCTCTAATGTTTACATATGTTTTTTAAAAAGTGTTTTTAGAGCTTAGCAGCCAAAGACTTAGCTAGGGGGCTCCTGCTGGTCATGTGCATGTAGAGCACGGACCCCAGAGTGGCTTCTCTGTGATGTCCACCATCAGAGAACAGGAGTTACAGGTAACTTTTCTCATCTGTAGTTTCAAGCAGTATTTGCTTTCTTTTAGAGAATCTTCAGATGTATTCCATAGACTTGCAGTGAATGGAAGTTGAGATTTTTTTTGCCTGTTACTTTCATATTTTTAATGTCCTCATTGATTTGATCTTTGTGGGCTAGTCCAAAGCAATTGAACCCATGTTTACACTAAACTTTATCTAAAGATGTATATACTATTGTTACTGTTTTCACTCTTGTAGGTTTGCTCTGCATTTTCCTCCATACTTCAGGAACACTTCATCYTAATGGACTGACATTCAAAGTATTTGTGGAAGGCTGTTTGTAGATTAGATTAGTAAATAAAGCAATTTTTTAAGATGCTGTTGTTTTTCCTGTTGTGTCTCAGCTGYTGGCTTTCCAGTGCAACCTTAAATACTCCTGGTATCACATTTTGCCTCCCAGAATAAGATTTGGATAAGTATCAGAAATGTGCTCTTTATTASTAATTATCTGAGATATTACATCTGTAGAGATACGAAATATCTCAGTTAATGAAGATCACACATTCTTCAGTGGTGTGCTCAGTTGAGTGCTGTGCTTAATTAGAAAATAAGGACTCCAGAAATGCTGGACTGCAGGAGATAATTGGGATGAGCATGTTATTAGCATGTTTCCTTCCTTCAGTTCACAGATYATGCTACACAAGATCTGGGGTTGTTGGKTTTTGGTTTGGTTTTTATTTTACCTACCTAAATTTGCTTTGAACCTTTCTTGTATATTTACATCTCTYTTTTTTGACCCCTTAGGACTGATCAACACACCCATTTAGGAGAGGCATCTGTTAATGGCCCTGTATGATATGTGATGTCCACTACCTTGGCTGAAGAGAAAGAACTGATGTCCAGGTGTTTGAGTGTTTCTTGAGGATATCATCTAGACCCTGTTGAAGCCAGTCACTGCTGCACTAATTTCGCAAGGAATCAGGACCAGCAACATTTATATTCTAGATTTTAAGACATTGTACAGAAATTCATAAGTGTAAAAATATTGCACATTGAGAAATACCAATAATTTTTGCGTATGTTTATATTGTATTGTTCTAAATAACGGGGGGCCTGTGAAATAAGATCCTGCTACCCATGTAATGATGACAGTAGTGTTACTGTAGTTAAAATGGCTGTAAGAATAGTTTTATAAAAAAGTGAATACAAAAATCTAATGTATTTGAGACATAACTATTTGACGATTAGTGTGACCAAAGTATTTAGCAGTTTTCTTACATTTTTCACCTTGTAAAAAAGAAAAAGAAAATTCATGTTTTTTCTGAAATTGAAATGCCCTATAAATGTTATTTTGGTTGTTTTAGCTTATAAAAGTGATTTAAATAAGAATTTTTTGGTGTTCAACATTTTACAACAGGTTTTTTAATTGGTAATTGTTTTCTGTATTGTTCAAAACAGATCAAAAAATGTAAGTCTATTGGTAGAGATTTTAAGTATTTATTGCAACAGCTTAGTTGACAAATTGATGTTACTGTAAAGCCATATGTTCTGTTAAGTCTAGTTTGCTTGAAACAATACCTTCCAGGTGAAACACTAGAATATTTGAAGTGCACATGGCTTGTTGTGTTTAAGTGRTTCACCTGCCTTTTAAACAGTTCACCAAGATTTAGTTTAATACCAAGCATTATATAATGGAACATTTCAGAACAATCTGCGTATTTAAAACGCTATAATCCTTTTAGACAAGTCAAGTAAAAGAAATGCCCGTGCTGCTAATGTAATTACAGTACATGCATTTTAAAAGTAAATAGTGTTTTTAATACAAATTTTGGCAGCAGAGCATGTTAATTGTTAATTTCACTGTACTGATCTGTGTGAGGCTTTCATTTGTATGTTCTAAACCAGTTTTTTCACAGCTGGTTTGTGTATATATATAGTGATTATGGAAACTAATTCTGTGTAATTTATAATTTTCTATGTCAGTGTAAAATTCCAACAGCCTTCTCAAACAAACAGAAGCAATATCTGTATATTGCCACATGGTCTGGTGAAAGGGTTGAAATACGCCTGCACTTTTAGACGCAAAACCATTTTTGTTTCTGTAATAGTTATATTCATTTTTTTTTACATAATTTGTTTTCCTGACCAGTATTTAAAGCCAAAAGGATATTCTAAACAATGGCCAATGATTTATTTTAGAAGGCGTCCCAAGCAACGTGCCTAAACATTACATTGCATACAGAAATAAAAACCCACATTTATGTCACTGCCCTAATTGCTTTCTCTTTTGCATTTTCTGCAAGGTTCAGTGCACTTGTCCTTGGAAATTTTTACAAATTGATCAGTTGTGTGAAAACAAAGGGGTAAACTGATAATCTCACAGGTGGACTTGGTAACTGTGGTTGCCCTTTTTATTTATACTTTATAAATGATGGAATCCAGTCAGTTTCTAAGTTTCCTTTTTCAGTTCAGAATTACTTTCAAATCAGCTTGACCAAAACCGTTTTGTGTGTTAGCTTTAAGGTTGGCAGCTGTCCTCTTGTCAGTTCCTGATCTGTTACTGAACATGCAGCTTTGGAAGCAAAACTGCACATTTTAACACATTAATTGCATTCAAGTAGAAATTCCTAATACAGGCAAGCAGCAAGTTGGTTTGAGTAAGTTTGATGCTTGTGAGGAGTAAAATTTTTGAGTCCACTCCAGTGGAGCTATTTCTCCTTTGCTAAAAAGTTGCTTTATCTAGCTCTATAGCCATGAAAACTGGAGAACACAGTAGATGAAATTGAATTTGGGCCCTGTTGCCTGCAGTTCAGCGTAGTCTTGTAGTTGTCCTTCTGTTCATGAACTGTCATATCAGTCCATTGTTTTGAGGAAGGGTAGGGTGTGTTTTACCCACTCTATTCCTTGCACAAGAAATCCTGAACTTGAAAGCAATGGAGGTGTATTTTGGGGGAGAGGGTCTATGGGTGTGTTTAAACACACACACTTCGTTTGCTATCTTTTATCAATATTGCTGCTGATATGCTGCTCACGTAGCCTTACAAAGGTTTGAACGTACTGGGAGAATCCTGAACTGTTACCCAGCCTGTTTAATCACATTTGACTTGCATGCAATGGAATTTGAGTCTTCCTTATGAAAAGGTATTTTAATGCATTTGCAGCGTGGGCTATAGTCTAATACCTCTGTACAGGTTTGAGTTCCTACAGTGTTTTTAGCAGCAATTAGGATGAAATGAGCTTGCTTTGAAAGGCTTGTCCACTGCCTCATTCCACAGTGCTCTTTGAGATTACKAAAGGCTCAGTCACTTGAAAGTGAAGAATAATGATGCCAGTCGATGTCAATAGGCAGTGGATTTAACCCTCAGGATTCTGGTAAAAGATTTTTTACTCAAGCAACAGTCTTATTTCAAAAGTGGCTAGACCAGTAATATCTGTAGTAGCTCATTGCCTCTTCCCACCTGGCAGAGTGGATGAATCATGCMATCCTGACCAGTGCAAGCATTATTTTTAGGTGTAAGCCCTGTACTAGTTTTGTAGCATGATTATTCCATTTAAGTAAAAGCATAAGTCATCTTGACTAACATTGATATTAATTCACTGAAGAGGTAACAGGATAGTGGAAACAATCTCATTATGTCATTGTACATGGAATCCCGTGTGACCATGCTCTTGAGTGAAGTCTACATTTTTGCACCTATTAAACCTTGTATCTACCTCTTGAAAACAGTGAGTTCTGTGTTGTCATCAGCATACTTGTGTGGAAACTTACTGTGACATTCATTATTTGTGTGAAATCCATTGAGGAGACTTGTGAGGAAGATGAATCAGGTTCTTGCTGTCATTTATTATRAACTTACCTTTCTGTTTAAATTAGTGTTAATTTCCTTGGAGATTTTGTTTTCTGATGTGTCTCATACAGTTATATCAGGAAGTATTACTGTATATAACTGGCTCTATTAATAGACTTAATCACTTCTGACTGTCTCAGAATAAATAGTGCTTTCTCCAGTGTAGTATAAGTGCTTGGAGTTTCATTATGAAAGTGTCTGTATGTTTGCCAAACCAGGATGGAAAAAGACTCTTGCTGCAGCAGCAAAACACCTTTTTTTTGTAAAGTTTTTAACATCTGTGTTTTAGTTTCTGCATCTTACTTGCTAGCAGGTAAGGACTTGCCATCTTCCTGTTCCATTATTGTTTGAGTATAWAAGGTTACAGCATGGAAGGAGATGGAGGCAATAGAAAAAATGTCTCTATTTTTACAATACTTTTAATTRTAATTTTATCTCATTTATGTAGGCGAGGTCATGACATTTTTTGGATGTGCTCAGACCTGATTTTGCTGTTATTTTCAAATTGTGATTTCCCCTGTGTTTAGTCTTGGTTAATGACTTGTGTGTAATCACACTTTTAATGATATCTAAAGGAAATCTGTGTGCTTCTTACTCTGCTGCCATAAGCTAATGCACTAACAAGAACTGAACTGTATCTTGTGTGGAATTTCTGGTAGATGACTCTGGGCCTAGTGTTTGCATATTTTTTATTGGAGAAAGAAACTTTTTGTTTCTGTATTTTTTGTCTTCTCTAAATGACTAGTACCTAGCAAAATGAGGTGGAATTCCCTTTATCTTCCTGGCCACAGCTCAAATAATGTAATTCTGATTCTAGGGCATCATTCTGGATTTGAGTTGTATATGGATGTGGGTGCTTTCTGTGCTCTGTGTCTCAAAACATGATTCTGAAGACTAATTTAGATCATGATAGGCTGTTGGCATACAGCCACCCAGAGTAAGAAAGCTACACCTTGCCTAGCTGTGGTTGGGTAGATTTTGTCACTCATGTCTCATTAGATTTAATGCCTGCCCATTTGCACAAGGAGAGTTATRTCTGGTTGTCTCACTACTGTGATCTTTGGATGGGTAGATGGGTGATTGATTCTCAAGGGTCTAATAGACRTATTTCATTTCTTCAGATGGAGCCTGGACCTGTTACAGATCTGTTAGGTCTGCTTTTAAATTCCACTATGTGCCACACTCCCTATCTTTCTTACCTGGGAGGGGTTCTTCCATTCCCCTTATCTACCCCGATTATCTGTCAAAGGTTGTCACAATGTCACCTTGGGTAATACACTAACGTGGCTCTTTGGTCAGGGCGTTGAACCCTGACTGCAGACATTGCAAATATCTGCAAAAAAAAAACCCCTGCTTTTCCTTACACCAAATAGAATAAAGTGTTTGGGAAGTCCCTCTTTGCTCTTTTTTCAAATGAAAGATAAAAAATGTTGACTGTCTTCTGCTGATTCTCGTGTCAGACAGAGGTACGTGATAAGATAAGCTAAGATTGCTAAAACTCAAGTGACCTTGTTTCTGTTGGGAGTTCTTTAAAGCACCTTTCCTCCTATATCTTTATAGAAACAATTGTTAATTCTGTATTTGATAAAAAGGGTTGTTTTTCTTTAGTCACTGGCAAACTTAAAATTCTGGGATGTGCTTTCAGATGAGAAGGGCTCTGTTTTGGAGTGAGCTATAGCAGACTGCATATTGACAGACAAGGTAGTAACAAGGAACTKAGAGATATTCATGGCCCCACCGTTTCTCTCTAGTCCCTTCAGAATAAAGCTTGAAAAGATAAAAGGGCTGGGAAAATGTACCACTTTTCTTTTTAATGCTGGTACTTYGCTTGTCCTGTTTGAAGTACTCTAAAGGCAGATCTCTGAACTGGGAAAGTGGTGGGTGACTTCCTGATAAGTAAATTGTTTCAAGGTTTAGCTATATGATTCATACAGAATTCATGCTTATTTCTGTGTACAAGCACTGAAGACAACCTCTAACTAAACTTTWTAAATAAGTATCTATAGATTCATGCTTGTGTGCCTGTGCGTCAGTGTGTAGGATATACTGTCTTAACATGGCTGATGCAGTGCCTGTGGTGCATTTATGGAGTACACTGAACTGTAGGATATCAGGAAGAACAAAAGGATATTTGTGCACAGGTTGCAGCCCCTTCTGAAACATTTCAGGCTTCTATCTGTGTGTGTAGACATTGTCAGTAGCCTCTGGACAGCCTGAAGATACCTTGATGGGGGAGGAGCTGGGGTCTCTGGTGTGTGAGGCAAACTTCAGCTTTTGTCAAATGATCTCTATGATGCTCTCTTAGTCCAGATAATTGATACATTTGAGCGTTTGGTAAGGCRTATCCAACTGGGAGTTCCCAGTTATGGTCTAGAATAGAGTAACTCAGGAAAGGACTTGGRTTGTAAAACAGGGCAGGGAATTTGTGCATGCTTGGTGCTGTGCTCCAACATCCTTTTTTGTCATATGGGAAGCTATGGACTATGTGTTAAAGGACTGACCAGTTCTTTCAGTGACAGGAGTAGATGCTACTTGGGTTACATTTTTGTGTGAGGTGTCTGGAAAGGAATAAAGCAATGGTGGTATAGTGTGACACACAGAAACCAGATCATCTAGTCACACTAAAATATTTATTGGGAGCAAGAAGTCTTTGTGTTCACACAAAGTGTGCAAAAAGGTTATAGGTAGGCAACACTCAAATGGATTGTTTGCAAGTATCAAGAAACTGGCTTGAAAGAAATAAAGCAGGGAAATGGCAAAGATTTGAATGCTGGAGAAGGCAGTTTGAAGCTCTTAATCTCAGGCAAGGTCCTAATTTCACTTTTTGGTCATTGCAGCACTTCAGTGAGCTAGAAAAAGATGAAATCTTTCTGGCTGCCTGTGAAATAATGGATTTCTCTAAAAAAAATCCTCAAATGGCCTTGGGCTCCTGGGAGAATTCWTTTTCATAGTTTATRTCGGTGATGCCTGTGGCAGGTTATTCATGAAGGGAAAAGATTTAAGTTGAAAAGTTGAGAAGTTGAGTTTAAGTTAAAAAGTTAAGAAGAAAATCCACACTAATGAAATCCTCTSAGTAAGTTGTTAATATGAATTGATGAAGTCAGGATTTATACTGATGATGTGGCTGTGTGTTATGGAGTGATATCTGACCTCCTGGATTGTGAAGAGTCAGAAACTTGAATGCTGCTGCTAGATATAATTAAAAGTTACTGGCTTTCTGTTAACATCAGTTGTCTTATGAAACTTTCCTCTGTCTGAACTTGCTGTGAGGATTGTGAATTTAGTCTTCATTTACTCATAAAAGATGACTGATAATATGGCATGTTTCAGAGAATAACTAGTCAATTTTCAAGATTATTTTTGTGGTTGTCGTAACGTCCAACCATATGTGTCATCAAGGTATTCCACAGGCACTTAMCTGACTGTGGGATTTAGAATGGCCTCTGGACTTCTGATTTACTCCAGCTTTGTTACAAACAAGTATTTCACTGCTGGAATACTTCTATCTCTGAAAATCTTCTTTGTAAGTTTTTATGACAAAAAAGATTTTTTGACCTCAGAGCAGAAAGGTAATGGAGCAAAAGAATGACTCTTTTATAAATAGTGTATGGCCTTGATGTGTGCTGCAAACCTCCAAGAATGTATTAAAAAYTGGGAAATAGGCATAAGCTTCTCTATTAGCTAAAGCTTTTCTGTGGAGCAGAAATAAATTAATGAGGCATAATGCTAAGCTGACAGGCATTTAATAGGTGTTCTGTTTACTGATGTGTGTAAGAGTCACTCTCTGCTGCTGCCATAGCACTTCTGTGGTGGTGGAGGATGGAACTAATGAAATCCTGCAGTAATACTTGAATGTTAAAACAAACTTCTCTTAGTCTGAGAAGCAAAGGGGACAGCAGAATCCATGTCAGTATTTCCCAGTGCTCTTCCTTATAAGAGGCTTGTATCCTTTACCTCCAAGTGCTTTATCAGGATAATTTCTTGCAGAAATAAAGGAAAAGGAGCCAGTGCTAGAGACTGGGGGGTTTTTTCTGCAGTCAAAGAATTAAAAATAGCAAATAGGGTGACAGAAGTATTTGGAATATTTACAGTACAGGAAGCTCTTGCTTACTCTGCATTAAGAATCCTGGGAGTATTGCATTTGTCATTTTCTTTTGCCTGATGTCTCAGGGAAGATTTCACAGAACTGTCTGGGATTGTKCAAAGATGGAATGARCTGTTACCAGGACTGCAAAAACCACGTACTCAAGGTACAGGTGTTTATGAAATAAAAGTTCCTTTCTTGTAGATATTAGAAATTAAATAGACATGATGGCTACTAGTTAGTAAAAGCTGAAACAGGTAATTAAAAATATGTCTTTATACAAATCTTTGTAACAAAGACTAGAATTTCACTTCATTCTATATCAGCTTGAACTCTGGGTCTGTCACATCCTCTGTAAATAGCTCAATTTAGACTTCACACTGCATAATTCCAGGTCATTGATGCTTAAACTCTTGTTCTGTTCCTCCTCTCTTGCCCCCATTCCCTTCTTGAGAACTGACAAAAAGTTAGAAATCCAAATAGGATGTATTTTTCCTCTATGGGAGACTGTAAAAGACCAAAATTTGCCAAAATTATAGTTATTGAAATCCTGAAATCAGRGAACAAACTGAGTCAAAGAGATGGGAGAAGAAATTGATGAAATGCTAAAAAATTAAATTCTGAAGGAAACTGAAAATTATAAAAGCAAATGGGATGACATGAAGTCCAGTGAAATGGACCAAAGCTTAGCGAATTGATACCCATTGAAATCTCAAGATTTCCTTTCCTTTCAGGAAATGAAACATTTCCTTTCCTGGAAGGAAATATTGAAATCAGAAAGTGTAGCAAATACTCTGGAAAGGAGATATGACAAAATGCCATTTAAAAAAAAAAAAAGCAGCTTTGAAAGTGGAGTGACTACAACCAAATATACTGAGATGAAATGAGGTGCAGTGAGAAGGACTRAAACTTGCCAGAATTACACTTACTGAAATCCTGAATTTAGAGRTTGAAATGAAACTAATGGGCTGGAGAAGAAATTGTAGTAACCAATACWTCAAAACCTTCTGAGCTGCACAACCAAGTTGCAATACAAGCAGAAGGACCACTCATCCCACCATTTTTCCCCCCCACTATGCATTTCTACATACTTGATAAGGATTTAAAAGGTTCTAAATCAGTTCCTTTAATATATTTTATTACTGTGACTATCTTTAAAGGAAGTAATTTGCTTAGTTAAATATTCAAACTTACTTGAAATAGGTTAGAGCTGTTAAATAAAAATATGAAAAAGGGTTTGACATCAAAGCTTTTGTTATTTTCATCAAGTTTTACAGCTATTTAGAATTTCAGATAATCAGTCTTAGTGGCATCTTTTCCAACAGCTGTTCACAATGGTAAAAGACACAGCTGTCTTTCCAAAGCCATTGAAGGCAAAAATGGCCCCTTTWCACAATTTGTGCAYACACRGTAAACAGCACAGTAAAACTCATCMATTGYGCATATCATCCCTCACACTCCAATCACTAATATAAATCTGACTGTTGTAGCTGTGAAGTAGTAAGGAAGAAAAAGGTGGACAGTTTTTCCTTACAAGAAAAATTTTTGAATTCTTAATGAAGTACACCAAAATCATCTTGCTACTGTGAACTAACTCCATAATTTAAAGAAAAAAAAATCAGTCTTGACTGTAATACTGAAGTACTGCCAGGGAATGTAGTACTCCTTATATGTTAAAAAGGTCTGACAAGTCATTAAACTGAGATTTAGTCAGAACTGGGCACTTTTGTATCAGTGAAAATTTTTCTGCAAAAAACACATTTGAATGAGGATGACATTTTTGTGAATGATTGGTGTGTTGTTGGTATCAGCAAACATTATTAGTTGATGTAAAATTAACTTTGTTTTGAACATCTAAAACCTCGATTACCTGTACCCATCTATTAATACCTTGTCATATTTATTTAGTCTGAAAGAAGTGACTTAATTGTTTTTTATGTGTGAGAAAGCAGTTTTCCTGAGCTGCACTAGGTTGATCCTGAGTGATCCTCTAGAGGAACCTATGTCTCCAGTGGTTATCAGGAAAGCCTAGGGCAATAGCTGGCACRTGTAACGATGTAATTATGTTAACTAAAACTGAACAATACAGACAGTCCTTTAACAAAACCCTTTTGAGTTTTCTCTCCCATTCCTCCATTCCTGTGACAATAGATTGACTTTGTATTGGGGAAGGCAAGAGAAAGATCACCTTCATAATTATACTTTTGAATTTCCTGCTTCCTAGTCAGTAGAACATTAAGTACAAATAAAATGTGATATTTTTTTACCACTGAGCTGCACTTATATAAGAAGCAGTGTGCTGCATTTCCTTCTCAGGCAGGTCAGCTTGCCCCGACTGCTCTCCTTGCCTGTTAGGCTGGTAAGTATCTTTGTAGAGCATAAAATCCAAAGTGAGGGCAAGAACTATAAAGCTTTCAGACTGAGAAGGATAAAGTGATGAATCAGTGKCCAGAAAAGTTAAAAGGAATTAAGTAACTCTCCTATGACAGTTTAAAGTAGTACCAGACAAATCAAGTGCCTCAGATACACATGAATTCCAATGAGTAATTTTTTAAAAATAATTTAARTGTRTATTCCTTTCTGTTGTTAGRATTAGCTTTACAGGTCACAACCCCATTTTTAATATTGAATCTCACAGAGTTGTGAGGCACAACTTCCCATTAACTTTCCATGTTTGCCAAAAAGATTGCATTTATCTACTTATTTTCTAACTTTATTCCTTATTACAACCGATGCTTCCTTGTTATATTAGCTTGATCTCCTTAAAACCCCATTAAAATAGGCCCTGTTTTTTTTTGATTTTCCACTCCTCTAGTAGCATTTATCAACCAAAACCAGTTACTCTCTATTCTGCCCTTGACAGGCAGCCCGGATGTCAGAGGACTTTTGACCCTCTTGAAGGCAGATTATAACAGATACATCACMGTATTAAGTAATGCAGAGTATCCACCCAAAACCCGTGAAAGCAAACATGAGAAACTTAAACCTTTCCCTGTCATTGCAGTGTCCCCTTTGGTTACAAAGTGGTTTCTYTTCATAATCAGTCTCAACACCCATTATTTTTGTGGTTGCATCTATTTGATCATGTGCACTGTCTTTGTCTTTTTGATCATAGTAAACTTCTGTAGCAGAGGGCATCTGAACTTGGTCCTGAAGTCTTCAGTTATAAAACATTCTCACTAATCACCTATGCCCAGTCACCCACACGACCAGGAGTCCTAACTGAGCTCTTTGGACAGTGTTTGTAAGTATCTGTCTTCACCATATTGGATATAAGGAGTGAGCTGGTTTTTAGTGGAGCTGATCTGTAAAAACAAATGCYGAATACGCTTGGGTATACAGGGGTAAAAGCTTGGGGTATATTTTGAGATTTCACAGAGGTAGAAAACTGATTTTGTGTGTCCAAGAAAACAGGTTTGCTATTTCATAAAATACAAGTACTACTGTCATTAAAAAAGTTTCTGGGAACTTGTAAATTTATCCAATCTGTCAAGAATGAAAAAAACTGCAGTCTTTGGATGTGTCCTGGCTTAACCCCAGCCAGCAACTAAGTACCATGTAGCTGCTCATTCACATAGGTAAAAGTGAGCCATATGATAACTGGCCTCTGAGCTCACAAACTAGTTGCTTAGATAATTTAAAAAATATGTCATGAAGTTGATGTTTTCATCTGATAAAATGAARGTTAGTACCTGTAGTTCTAGATGAGATTTCAAATGTGTACCCTTGATTTTTACTGGACCTCTCAAAAACCCCAGGAAAATGAAACCTGTTATGGTCTACATAAGCAAAAACAATCCAAGGAATTGAAGCTGATTCAGAATTGGATGTTTTGTTATGGGTTAAAGATCAGGCTCTTTGCCTCTTTAGAATTGTTACATTATGAAACGGAAGATTCTTCTATGAAAAAGTGCAGATATTGCAATCACATAAACCACAGAGTTGGGTCACAGTGATGCATATGAGTATAATCATATCAAATTCCAAATTTATGAGCATTTTTATGAGTCCRTCTGGAACTTAGTCTTAGAAAATGAAAACAAAAAAAGAAATCATGACCTGATCATACTCTGAAATGGGATAAAAAACGGAAATYGCAATCAGCTAGGTAAGGTTTGGAATAGTAGCCATAGAACTGAAATCCAAAGTGGAAGAAGCCAGGTATATTGCTGTAAAAAAAAAAGAGGGATCACTAGAGCTGTTCATAGAGCACATGTTCCCTTTACTTTCATTGAGATACCTCTCTGTGTATGTTGGGTGTGTTGGTTTGCATTTGCTGATCCTGAGGGGATAGGACAGCTCTGTGAAACTGAGCCATAAGGCAACTTATCAACTAAACATAGATCRAGAAATCCAAGCAGCTGGATAAAAGCCAACTAAGAACTGTAACAAGTGGATTAACACATGAAATACTGACTCCATTCACCAAAGGRAAAAAACCTCAGCYGGAGAACTGGTGAACACTTCTATGTTTCTAGAAAAAATTACCCATTTGGACTGGGAACTTAGAAAGCTATGCAAATTGGAAAGGTCTAGTAAATGTAACTTATGGAAAAACACTGGTATTAATTAMTGGATAATTTTAGTCTCTAAAACTCCATTTTCAGCCCCCTGATTCTTGATTATTTAATATTTACCCTTTTGGATTGACACAGCAAATAATTGTTATTCTATTTACAGCAAAGAGTGTATGGTGCAAAAGCTTATCTTCCTTATAATAATTTCTTGCAAATTTTCAAATCAAATACAGAATGGATCTTTTGACTCATCCATTTTATGGGGAAATACAATATGCAGTCTAAATTGAGAAAATGAATGTTCTGTAGCAAATAATCTACGTTCTGTTGAAGGGAATATCAGACTATATGCAAAAGAAGGAAAATGCAAATTTGCTAATTTAACTGAAATCAAACACTTATTTCAGAGTAAGTGAAATGTTTCCTGTCTTATTCTCTACTRTGCAGTTCTTTGAAAAAAGCAAATCAACTTTTTTATCATCTATTGTRGCAAAAGAATCTCTGATTCAATAATATCAAAAAGAACGCCAATGCAAGCAACAGACAAGTGATTTAAAACAGATGTGAAATTCCCTCTGTGTAGAAAATTATAGGCACTGGTGATGACATTAGATGCATATGACTAATCACAGTTAATGCTTGCTGTTGCCAATTAGCTTTATTAGCACAAGCAATTTGAGCACAGCATGACATTACTTTAATTACTGTAAGCAGCTTGTTCATTTATTGAGCAGTAAGCATTTAGAAAGGGGTTATTCTATCTGCAAATTAATCATAACCCTCTTTATCATTAGAATTTCAAGAACACTAMGGGAAAAAAAGACTTTACCGTGCAAATAGAAAAAATGGGTGATGAAAGTCTGGCAGTAATTTTAGTATTTTACTACTATTCTACTTTTTTATAAAAAGACAAAAGCTATTGTATTATTTCTGTCTGAAAGCTGGACATGAGTGAGACAAAATTACTACCATTAGAGTTAAGACAAGACATTATGGCCATTAGGTGGTAGCAATGCAAAAAAAATCATGTAGAAATGTACAGCAAAAATAAGGCTAAAGGTATCTAGGACAGAAAAAACCCAATCCAAAC